GATCTGCCACATCGATCGTACATTTATTTATTGTAAGGTAACTTAAACCAATATTTCTGTATTCGTCTATTTTTTACCATAAGTTAAGTGAAGATAATGCGAGTTTGTTATTGGCATTGCTAAGTGCACCTCAAACGCACACAAACAAACGTAACTTTCGAATTCTATATCCAGACTTAGGATTATCAACTAAGGAATTGCTACACGTCGCATACGAGATAGAGTACCTACAGCCAAGCACGTTGAACACTTACAACTTTGGATCATCCTTATAGTACGTACCTAAATGGCATAGTTACATGACGATGCCGTGAAAGTATCCAAAACGCTAAAATACTCTCATTATTGGTCAAAACCCCAGATATATGAAAAATAAGAAATACTACTGCCCTATAAGGAGAGTGTCCATTCCATAACGTTAATTGCTAATGCAGATTCAGGAAGCAAGTAATAATATTCCTACTAGGACTAGGCTAAGCCATAAAAACGAAAAAAGTTTCAAAGCATTAAATAAGATTTTATTTTATTCCAAGTAATAACATAGTTGAGTTTGTAAATATGGTGAGCTTTTTGTATATAATATCGCTAACAATAATGAGTTAATAACTCAAAAAGTGAGAAATATGAATCAGACAGTCAGGTCCGTGTTATGCAATGTGCGTACACGCATCTCGTAAATGTCACCCGCGCCGCACCAGTGCCACTCACGGTTCGCATAGCTAATTAGGGTGTTTAACAGTGAACCGTGATGTGACGAGACCTCCCTGATTGTCGTGTTTCTTACGTACCTACAGAGTGTTAGGTAGGTGCTCGCAAGCTTGAGTTATTGGGTATTAATAATTATTCGTATTTAAAAGGATAAATGAAAAAATACGAAAAAAGAACGATATAACCACAGACATCTGTGGATATAACCATATAAAACGGAGACATTAATTCGAAAAAAAAATTTTATTTCTCAAAGTGTAACAATGATCTCGATCCGAAAAAGATATTGAGGTTCATGATTATGGAAGAAACAAACTTTTTGGACTTAAAACAGTTTGCAAAGATTAACGCATATATGTATCCACCTATTTTTCATGATTATTATAATCTATTTCGTAGACATTTAACGTCACATTGCGCGTAGCTTTTCGCGACTTCTAGCGGATTTTCCCTTTAGGACTGTTGGACCCACTGTTTCCAGGTATCGTCGACGGCAGCAGCGGGAGTTCTCGCAAATGCGCGAGCATTCCTAAACTTGCGCGAGAATTCTCTGGAAGGCGTCACGGCCTGTTCTTTAGCTCGTGTCTAGTTTGTACGTTACACAACTGACAAAATGCGTTATGCTACGTTCGGTTTCGTTATACTTATCCGCTTCCATTCCTTTTGCGGCAATGTAAATTGGTTTTTTCCACACAACAATGTTGGTTTTTTCCTTATACTCTGAAACACTGATCGGAGCTCCGATCGGTAGGAACGGGAATAAGCCTTCGCGTATAAACGACATCAATAATATGCATGGTACGTCGTCGTCATTATTCAGACTTTTTTGTATTTACAAAATATCGCAATTAATTACAATTCAATTGCAAAATACTTACCTCAAAATCACAATGCTATATATAGGTACACATATATATAATATACGAATTAGGGGACCACTGGCAATTTTCGTTAATACGCCATTTTCATCAACTGGTCAATTTCTGTAATTTGCCAAAGCCATCGTAATCTTTAAGTCGTTAATTTGCCCAATTCGTCATTTTCTCTGATTTTCTTATTTTCGGCAACAGCATTTTCGGACAGTATACATAATGTACAGTCAGGGAAAATATATATGTTTTCGGGTAATTTGGTAGACGCCTCACGAATTGAACTCATTTCAGGTAAGGCAAACGTTTTCCCAACTACGCTATCACACGGACTGCCACGCTGAGATCCCAGGTGCGATTCCCGGGCCTGGAGAAATATTTGTATGGCCTACATTTATTTCTCTCGTGAGTTTGGATAATACAAAAAAATACTATTATTTTCAAGTATTACACTTTGTTGCAATTTTTTTTTTTTTGTTGATCTTATTGTTTTGGACAAATTGTACAATTAGACTATAATGTCATAAAATGGTGTTTCATTCCGATAAGACTGATGCACCTTTCAGTGAAATATATGTTTTTTCTCATAAATTTGTGGTCATACGTTTAAGAAATATTAGATACATAAGTATTAAGATGTTAGATATGCATTGCGATAAAATGTTATGCTTTAATTTTAGTACATAATGCTAAATTAATTTCCTTTTGATCTTGTTCCGTTGCACTGGACGCGATTTTCGAACAAAATGTGTAGTCTGATGTGCCGTTGTCCGTACATATTTTGATGTGCAATCGGTACTTTTGTTGGGGAAGTGGCATATTTGGTTGTGAAAAAACTTGCTTCTTTGGTAAGCGGTTAAATTCTACCCTTGTAAAATTATCAGTCGGTGCGTGTTGAGTTCGCGATCCTTTCCCCCACTTAGGCCCGTCCGAGCCGAGCAGATGGTACTTCCACACCACAAGTTACCACTTGGCACTCGTCAACTTTAAATATTATATTATATAATTTCAAAGTTTGATTAATGTTGAGTCTCATTAACATAAATAAACGATTTAAGGTCGTCTAATTTTATAATTTGCTTTACATTTTACATTCTGTTTACATTCACAGCACACCTAATAGATGGTTACATTTTGAGTTTCTTAATTCTTTATTATAATTATTTTTAAGCGATGTATTTGTAATAAATAATGAAATCTCGAGATGTGGGGAATCAGAACTTTGTTCTCCCCAAATTCGGAGATTTTAACCGTGATTTTTTGGGGATTTTGAACAATTGACGTTGGCAACGCTGCTTTGAATGCTCGCGAGTGCCTTTGAGTGCCCGCGCTGTAATGTTCGGATTTGAACTGTTATATTACAAGCGAATGCTCGCGGTGAAGGAGCGCCCTTACACTACTGGCGAATGTTCGCGGTGAGGAAGCGCCCTAAGGCAATTATCACTGTCCCGCGCCATGCAACTATGTGCGGAGCTGTGTTTTTTAACGTTGTACCGAAGTACGTCAGTTTGAATCGGAAATAGGCGCCGTACAACACACTGACAACGCGTCTGCGCGCGGGAGTATGGCACACTGCGCTCCGCACTACCGTGCAGATTTTAAGGCATAACCCTTTCGGGACGGTCTAATACGATTGTGCGGGTCGCAAAATCGAAATTATCTCATCAATTTTGCGTATGTATTGGACGAGCCCCGTGCCACATTATTATGCGAGAGCCAGGCCTTAAGCTCCCGCGTAAATATCGCGCCTACGTCAGTCAGTCAACAAATTTCGGACACTTTGTTTGGTGGAAAATTGTGACTCCAGATTTGGCGATTGTAAGTATCATTTTCTACATATTTCTTTAAGTATAGGTAATTATTATTTGTTGATTCATTAAATATATAAACAATAAGTGTTTTGAATACACGTACACCGATAAATAAATAAATGAAAAAGAGTGGTGTGGTGGCGTTTCAAACGTTTCCCACACAATTGTATCAATCTGGGCCGTGCGTTACTTTTCGCGTCTATTAAAACTAACTTCATCTCTATATTTTTAATAGTTATTCAACAATGGTAGATATTTTAAGCGTTGCCGCTATCGCAGAAATTGTATGTGTTTCAGGAGACGATAGTGATGATGACGGAGAAGAGGATGTGCACCTGCATCGTAATGAAGTCATGGACGATGCTAATTTCTCTTCTTCAAACTCCGAAGAAGACATCGACCTATAATTGCAACCCGTACTGCGTTCGTCCTTCGGAAGATGTTCTAACGCATGCTAAATATCAATTGATGATTTATTTTGTCGATGTCGATTTATTTTGTAAGAAGAAATATTCGAGTTTTTTTCAATAAATTATTTTATCTTTACAGACAAAATGACTATTTCAAATGTCTATCATGAATATAAATTAGGAAAAAGAATGGTTAGGCCCTCAACTAAATTGTTTATGAGCAATAACTGACCCAACCTGATACAATCGTGGCACTCACAATTGTGCTTAGGAAATGAAGGGACCAGAATAATACAAGTTTTTCTAAGGTGGCGTCGGAAAATAGGGAAAGCGACGCCAGACTTAAAATCTGCGACCTCGAATTACCTATAGTACATATTCAGATGTAATAAATTCGTTGTAGTTTTGGAGCCGATCCCAAAAGAATAAGGACGTATTCATGGTACAGTCGTCTGCAATAGATGTCAACGTCAAATTTTTACTTGAAATTGAGTCGCCCATAAATTTGGAACATGAACTGTATAAAATTGTATAAAGATACTATATTCTTTATTCGAACTGTATAAAGAATATAGTAACCGCGTCCAAAAAGTAATGCAGTGGGAAGAGGTGACAAATATATTTACGGAAGAAAATACCTCAATTGACGTAAATATTTCCTTTTATCTTTGTAATTCAGTTAAAATGATCGAAGATCAGTTCAAATTTATTGGGTACACCCGTTTTTCAATATCTTCTACGAGAACGGTGTCTTTTTATTTGAATATACAAGAACCAAGTAGACAGTATAACTGCAGCGTCCTGAATGAGTTCTGTATTATTACCCATTTTTGTCAAAGAAGGATCTCAGCTGTATGTACCATGACCGGGGTGATCAACTGCGAAGTGAGCTTTAGGTGACGCGGGTCCGCAGTACCGCTGCCCCCGCGCGGCAAACTGCGCAGTAGATAGATACGTGTCCGTCACATGCATCGTCGTCTCGCACTCCGCTGCGTGGTGCGGAGCAGTGTGATAATGGCCTTACTCTGGTGACAGCACATCGGTACGTGAACTCGAATTGTTTGCAAGTATGACCAAATTAATTGAGATTTGATTTGGTCATACTTGCAATCTCAATGTTCAAATTTTAGACGCTCAATTATAGTCACTCTGGAATAAAGCATTTTTATTATTAGGTTACAAGAATCACACTGGACCATGTTGGCCTTAAAAACACAAAACTATAATCTTTATACATTTATTACAAACAACGGTAATACTGCAACATTAAATATTATTTACTAATAAATAAATCTTTCGTTCGGACTCTATAACATTATATACATTACAGTACATTTTTGCTAGTGTAGAAAATATATACTTTACAATGGTAAAATAGGCAGAACATTGAAACTAGTGTTACTACTGTAAATTACAACAGTGATAGTCAACACAGCTACTAATTTGCTAAAATTCAAATCATTAATTTGTACATGCACACATATTATATGTATATAATATATTTATACGTGTACAAATAATGATTCGAATTTTATATAATATGTATGTAAGTAAAGCGTTATACTAGTATCATATTCATTTAGTAATTGTTTTTATCGTGTTACACATATTAGTTCAGTCATGATTTTGTGGGTGTTACACATATTCATTTAGTATTTGTTTTTGTGAATGTTAGAAACACAAATTCTGCATCTAATTGCATGTAGGTGGGCTGTCCAGTAAGTTGAAGAAATCGTAGTCATCATCTACGTTTTCAATCTGTAACAAACAAGCATATTTATGTTTATATAAGAATATAATTTTTATCCTTAAAAAAGGTACAATTATATAATATAGTTAACGTAGTATATGTAATACAGTAAGAAACGCCATCATTTCATAAAATACTTGACAGTGTTATTCAATTAGTAGTAGTTCTTCACTGTATCATGAACACATTTCCTGAATTGCCGCATGGTTTGTGTACGGGCAACAAACTTATTTTTCATCAATTTAAAATATTTTTTTGCTAAAGTTGTTTATGTTATAATTATACTCGAAAATTCTTTATCAATTGGTTTAGTTTCCAATGATTATACACATACAATAGCATCCGTTCTAATCATCGACACTAGCGTGTTCATAAATCTAGCTTTGGCTACATCTCGGTGTACTGACCTCATGTAGGAATTTGGTGAAAGAATCCTCGCTCGATGGCGAGGATTGCTCCTCCTATGGAGGCGGCGCAAGAGGTACCAGTAAAGGTTCTCGGGGTCGGCGGGGCCGGCGTGTAGGCCCGCGTGGTACAGCAGCGCGCAACCGAGGTCGCCCAGGCCCGCGTCGTCCACGCCCTTCCGCGGCGCCGCCAGGCAATGGATCCATAGACTCCAGTGGCGCATCAGATTCTAAGAGAGCTGCACCTAATATGGAGTAAAATACTTATATTTACGAAATTATGATGTAAAGATGTTGTGACAGCAAATCATCAGGAGTAGTGGAATGCACGCTGATATTTCTCTCCCCGGGCTCATAATTCAAGGTATCTTACAGTTTCAGTATTAAACGCCCGAAGCTTAAACAACGTCTGATTGATCAAAAACTCTTATGCAAATTTGAATATGTAAGACCGGAGAGAACTTTTTCTTCATAATAACAATATTTTTGTATTCTAGCCATTCAAGGATGAAAATACAAAGTGGCTAGAATTATGTGATACAGACCTGCAGCGACGGCGACGGCGTTGTCGGCGGGCTTAGGCTCGGGCCGCCGCATGAATGCATGTCGCGATCCGCGCGGCCGACCGCGCCGCGAGCCCCGCGACGAACGCGCTGCGCGTGACATGCCCCATGACGATGCAGTACGCACCGGCGGCGAGTATGCTGTGGTCGAAGTGAATATTAAGAAATTATAAGCAAAAACACTTTTTCCTACTGATAAAAATACAATAGCAAAATACAGCATTGACAACACTAAATTAAACTAAATGACATTGTACACACACACACATGACACTTTCTTAACGTACGCACTGCTTGTGTTAAACTAATCTAGTTTAAATCCGGAAAAATAGTTTCATTTCCTAACCAGAAACTTTGTTAAAATTTGCTCGCACGCCATATAAACGATATACGTTTGTAATTTTGCAAAGCGACAGGTAAATGAATTAATGCCTCGTTACGTAAATGCCTAGCTGGAACCCTTAAGTGAATCTCAGACAAAAGCTCATACTACTACATACTGTGTAAGGTAGGTAGGTTTATACTACGCAGTGTAAGGAAGTCATTAAACTTTTGCGCATGGTTCTCTATATCATCTCAATATTAAAGCATCATTTCACGAAAATCCCCACGCAATTCACACGAAGCGTAGGGGAACTTCTAAGTGTGTAATCAGTTTAAAGATAATATATTGACAGCCATACTCACAAACAGGACTAGCAGGACGCGGTGAGGCATCAACGACGAGCTCTCCTTCACAATCATCGACATCGAGCGGGCTGCCCGGCTCCGACAGCGATTCTCGCGCGCGCTTAATCTCGACAGGCGCAGGCGTCGGCGAGGCGGCTGCTGGCGGCTGCTGCTGCGATTCCAACACTTGTTAATATTTGTCAAACTATAAAACGAACAGACAGATGGACACACAAGACATTGGTGCATTTAAGCGTACATTTCGTCACACACATTTTTTTAGTATTTATAGTCCATCTCTAAAACCACCTAGGTTCATTTTATTTAGGCACAACGACTTTTAGCGAAATCCAGGTATAAAGGTACAACGATAGAAATACAGAAAATATAAAACTGAAGATATCAGAGAATTCTACTCACTTGTGGGAGTAAACCTAGTTTTCGTTTTCGCTCCATTTCTTCCATTTTCTTCTTCTCTTCAGATTTCTGGCGATCTGTTAAGTTTTGGAATAAGTAAATAAAGCCATGAATTACCACTATTTTACAGGTACATGTTTGAATCACTTACATTTTTGTTCAATTTCTTCGTCATCAAGGAGTAATGATACTACTTCTTTCGGTTTCAATGTGTCCGGCTTGAAGTTGCCGCCACTGATCACCATCCTTTGGATCTACAACAACCTTCATATTATCATCACATTTAACTAGCAGAGACAAAGTAAAATGCATCATATGCTGATTCATGACAAACTATCTACAATTTTATTTAAATTATTTCCGTTGTTATGTGACTGAATAACAATCAACTATACAAGCAACCTTTGGCATTTATAACACAAGTCGACTTAAAAGCTTTTTGACATATCTTGTAAAAAATACTGTTACAGGCAGGACATTATTTCCGGCTTCAATGTTCGAAAAATTTACAACTACTCGGATGATGTGAAATCATAACTCTAGACTACATAACCTACTCCGGTTAAAAAAATCGACCTCAAGTCATTCATTCCATAATTTACCACCCTTAGAGGTGGAATATTTTCTTGAAATTTAAATGGGACTACATCTGAGGTACCTTCTTTCCAATAAATAAGAATCATCAAAATTGGTTCACAAATGGTGGAGTTATCGCGTTATATACAAAAAAAAACGAATTGAGAACCTCCTCCTCCTTTTTTTAAGTTTCGGTTAAAAATCAAACATTGGTGTGAGCGTTCTCAAATTCAGTAATGGCGAGTAAGAGAGAGAGAGAAGATTATTCATCACAATCTCACACTCAAATTATGCACTACTCACGAAGTTCTTTATTCTTTGTTCATGAGATACATAGCTAATAAAATACGTAAAACGATCGGGTGCATTCATAACATTACTTAACATTTAACATAACTTAATTTTTATAAATTTAAACCGTGTTTCCACGATCAACAACAACAATCACCACTACCCCGAACACATACAGTTCATTCATACCTCACTCTTCTCCCTAGCTCGCTGCATAATCCGTTCTTCGATGGTGCCCTTGCAGATGAGCCGGTAAACAGTCACTTGTTTGGTCTGACCTAATCTGTGTGCGCGATCCATCGCTTGCTGGTCCACTGTTGGATTCCAGTCAGAGTCGTAGAATATCACCTGTTGTAATACAACATCTCCACATCATCATGTCAGGGTATAGGATGTATGAAAAGGAGTCTACCCGCACGACATACCATTCCTGTCCTGTACCGCACCCTTGGCAAAAATCGGAGAGTACCTTACGCCGATTGGCAAATCGATGCCTCACTTTCGCAAACTCGTATCTTATAAAGAGTGATTATTCAGGTCATGTCAAGTTTCCATTTATTTTAAATTTCTTATCAACGGTGTTAATTTCGATGCATTACTTTAAGAATAGGTAAAACCAAGTGTGTGAATACGAACAAAATGTGATGTGAAATCAGCCTGCAAAATTTGTATACACAATCTATTTTTTGCATTTTAGTAACTTTGTGCTTTAAGATACGAGTTTTAGAAAGTAAGGCAACGAAATTCTTCACTACAATGACAAGTATTACAGATACGACAAGATGAAGAATGGCAGCATTTATTTTTAAAGCTCTGCAATGAAGCTTAAGAGCACATGAGTACAAATTTTTTTATTCATTTCTTTAATATTGTATAACATTACTGATAAAACCTCGTGCACTCGCAGGTAATGGAATCTCACAGTCAATGTAATAGGGTCATCTTGAATTAAAATAATAATGAACTTATTAGGATCCTGAAATTAATATATGGTGCAAAGTTCTATTCAATACATAAGAGTCTTGTAGAAAAATAAAAAAGCTTTTTACCAATTGTTAGCTGCTCAATATTAGTGTCTATAAGTTTGTTACGTCATATCTCCATTCTTTAATTATTAAATAACACATCTCGATGGTAGACCCTAATAATTCTGAACATAGTCATAAGTCATCGAAGACACAATGCAAATTGGAATATTTGAAGCCAGTATCGGTATGTGGACCTTAATTCTGTGACCCTAGTGAAAAGGGGTAGAAGTTAAAAGAGTCAACTTTACAAGGAAATGCGAAATCCACTTAACGCTTAATATCATATTAAGCTTTAACTGTTCTTCGCGTCTCCTTGTAAAATTGGGTTTTTTATTTGTACCCCTTTTCACAAGTGTCACAGAATTAATTTAGAAAATAACTTACAGTGTCGGCGGCAGTAAGATTGATGCCCAAACCACCAGCTCGAGTTGACAACAGGAACACAAATATGTCGGCACGGGCCTATCAAAAAACATACGTCCATAAGCATGATCTATATTCTGACAGAGAGATATGGGTAAACATACATGATAAATTGATTGAAAACTAAAACTTTACTCATGAAATTCTATTCCACACGTAATTATGCTCGGTACCTGGAAATCCGCCACCATGTCACGTCGTGCTGAAATCTTGCTCGAACCATCTAATCTCATATATTTGTGTTTTCGATGCCACATGTATTCCTGTATTAAAATACAAATTTTTATTGAGAAAGCGAAGTACAACCATTTCAAATTCATTCATTTAATAGTAGTTTATGTGACTGTTAAATTATGAAAGGCAGTCAAATACGAGTGTGGGTTACGAGTGACAGGCGAGTTTCATAAAAACATCACGAATGTTTTAATGCCTAATTATGTACAGTTACGTACACTGCTTTATCTATACACATAATATTATAGGCATTGACTTACAAATAAATGGACGACGGGTCTAATACAAAAATCACGAAAAAAATGTCCCAAGTCATCCTATTCGAAATTTAAATTGTTATGTCATCGCAGTATCGCGCTGTCCGTAGAACAAATGAAGACTAAAGCGGAGTGTCGCGCTCTGTATACGATTTTAGCGCCTTACAAGTGCGGACACTTTTTAGCGCGGACCCGACGTCCATATAATTGTAAGTCAATGATTATAGGCTCTAATGATGTGATCACGAAACGCATGTTACGACTGGCGAAATGGCGGAAAATAAAAACTTTTCTCACGCGTGTCACACAACCATAGTTTTTTTTTAAATTCATACACATACTAGAGTCAGCCCCAACTTTTCGATATCGAATTGTCAAAACTGTTTGCTATTGAACATTTCATTTCGAATAATACTTCATCTCGACTGATATTAGAATTGAGGTCGAATCAAATTGTTTTGTTTTTCAGAGATGTTCGAAACTTTTGTTTTTCAGAGATGTTCGAAATTTTAATGTAATAATAAAATCAATTTGATATTATTATTAAAGCAAGAATAACTTTTTCACAGAGAAGTTTGTTCTAACAAAAAAGTTTATCTTATGCTGGCCGTAATTTGCGGTTTTTGAACACATCATAGACGTTGTATGACATGTGTGTAGATAAACATTATTATAAGTAGATGAACTGTAACGAATGAAATTTAAAGTCCACACGACTTATTCAAGTAATTAAAATCGCTTGCTTATTCAACTGAATGATGACTTACTCTATAGAAATTTCATCTATCTAATTTGGAGACTTACCTCTAGCAAATCGATCATCTTAGTCATCTGGCTGTAAATAAGTACTCTATGTCCGCGCTCTTTCAGTCTCTTCAATAGCGAATCCAAAACAGTAAGTTTTCCGGCATCGCTCACCAACTGGTTTTTGTCTGTATTTAATATTATTTAGTTAGCCCACAGTGCAATGATTAGTACTACATATAATATGGTTTCTTAACTCCTAGCTATGAATAAATAATTAAATAAATACATAATTACAATTACGTCGAAAATACGGAATTGGAAAATTTACAATAATAAGGTGTACTACAATGAATAAAAAAATACAAGAGATTAATTTAATAGCTATTAATATATGACTTACACACTGGTTTTCATGGTGTCGCCATCTCTGAGGTCCCGGGTTCGATCCCCGGCAGGGTAGAAAAATGAAATTTTGTATATTGCTCGGGTCTGTGTGTTTGTAGTACCGTCCTTGTTTCCGATTACCATAACACAAGTGCTTACTCACTTTGGGATCAGAGCAACATGTATGTGATGTTGTTTAAATATACATTTATTCCGTTTTTTTTTTCTTCAAATAACGCACACAAATAGCCCCGCACTAGCGAAACCCTGTCTCGCGGCTGTCATGGACACACATACACAGCCACAAAGAACACCCAAAATCACGAGAGAAATAAATGTAGAGCATACAAATGTTTCTCACGTCCCGGGAATCTAATCCGGGACCTCTGCGTGGCAGACCAGCTTGGTAAGCGTTTCGCCACGGATGCAGACAAATTATACAATTGAAATGTCAAACATATTCCTTTATAAATAAACATAAAACGTAAATTGTCATTAATACCTGGCACTTGGACAGAGGCCCAACCGAAAGGTGGTCTAGCAGCGGCGACAAGTCTCGTCAACATTTCTGACCCCTCTCGACATTCACCGTGTTGATGCCGAATCACGTGATAGGCGAAGTTTCGCGACACAGCGAACGGTTGCCTCGACGGCGAGCACACCTGCAATGTTGATGTCACAAATACAATGTGCTTACTATTAATTCAATTCAATAAAAAAAAATCGAACATCCGTCTTAAGGGTTACACAGTACACTTAAAATAGGGTAAGAATTACAAATCAGTATCCTTTTTTTGTATACATTAATGTGCATTCGAGTCCAGTGCTCATGAGTAAAACCCTGAACCATGAACATTTATTACGGCTATTACCGCTGTCACTAATTCTGCGCATCAGGGAAGCTGCAATTTTTCGCATAATAGCTTGAAAACTACGCACTGCAGAAGCGTGGTAGCTGCAACAGCATCGTGATTGTATTGTTATTTGCTATATAAAGCATGTAAACGAATCAAGAAATGAACGTTAAAGGGCTAACCACATACACATCGGGTATATAACTAGAAATAGAGACGAAAGAGCAACTCATCAGGCAAATGGGCCTTATATCGCTTTTAAACATCAACTCTCGTTTGCGCTGAAATCACAAATTGGAAAGCTGAAATAGCAGCGCCCATAACTGACCTGTGTGTACGTCTCCGTATGTTCCAAAAATATTCTGTATTTATTGTAATAAAGCTAACACTCTAAACAAGGGGGGGCTATTCCATTCGGTGGTATGGGAAAAACAGCAAAACATCTAATTACAAAACCAACGGAATCACATTTCATCATTAATTAAATATTAAATAATTTTTCAATTTTCGTCCATTATAGCAAAGCTCAAGATAAACTGATCGATTTGAAGAGAAACAATTAACGACACCCGTCAATTGTATGAATTCGGGCTGGCCAATCGAAGCATAGTTGTCACCGTAATGATTTGGCAGAATAGTTTTCAAACAAATTAAATAACATTTCGTCTCTATTTCTGGTTATATACTCGATGTACACACATCAGAGCCGTGCCCGGGACGTGGATGGGCCGTGCTCCGCCAAGGGGCTCAAAAAAATATCGCTGCGTATATTTTGTATGTACTCATTCACATATGTCCATGTCCGGGCCGGCGCCGGAACGGGTCCGCAGTTCATACAAACTGGAACGGCCCGTCCACGTCCCGGGAACGGCCCTGTTGGGTGTAGGTAGTCCTTTAAACATTATAGAAATCTAGGATAGCAAATTCTTATTAAATAAATGTATGAACATCTTCGCCAAAACAGCTGATGTATCCGATGCAGAACAGTTACAGGCAAATCTTGTTCGCCTCGGGGATTAATGTGTTGATAGTGAGTTAGACCTGAACCCCTCAAAATGCAGCGTCGTCACTTTTAGTCGGAAAAGAAACACTATCCTTATGACTACGTCCTGAAGAGGACAAAGCTGCCAAAAGTGTCTACTATGAGGGATCTAGGAATTGTTCATGACTCCAAGTTGCTCTTTGACTCTGTATTCAACACAATTTATGCGTCAGTAAGAAATTTAATATCTCATGCATTTTTTATTAGTAAAGAAAGATAACGAACAGTTTTGTTAATACAAGAGTTATTGTTGTTCATTATTTTTTCTTTTTTTCTTTATATATAATGTAATGTAATAATAGGTTTTATGGATGATTGTATATATATATTTTATTTGTAGGAGTGTTATCCATACGTTAATACTATTAAACGGGTTAGTGGTGTATAACTTAGGTATCAACTGTGTGGTCGCAAAAGTCGCAATGTGTTAATGTGTTTTATTCATATTTTGTCATTTTTTGTTTTTGTATTTGCCACTGCGTTTTTAGCTAACTTAATTTCTATCGACGAGGAACTGTTTGCTTACCAATGTTATTTAATTTCTATTATGTTATAGTATAAGCTGTTTGTACCCTCTAAAATTAAATAAATACCAAAACCAGGACATGAAACATTCATGTGTATTACAGTTACTAATGATCATCCCACTTTTGTTACACGAGCTCAACATAACTCTTGTATTATAGGAGTAGCCAAGTTAAACACAGAACACCTCTTACATAGACAACGGAATCAAGGCTTCCTCTAAAATAAATTAATAGTCATTTTTCAATTTATTTTTGTTACTAGTTCACGATCATTCATTACTAATCGATTAAAAATAACTATTCGTAACTTTTCTATTTTTAATACAACGCCGTTTAGTGGCAGTATTTAGTAACTAAAATTACAATAGGATGCAATTAATAACTTAATAGATACATAATTGTATTAGAGGAAACGAAGTGTTGTTAGATAGGGCCGTTAACATTATTATTTAAAATATAATTACTTATAATATCAGAAAGAGAACTCAAAATAGAAGGCTATCTTAAATGCACACGGCACACTAGTGTTAGGGGTAACAATAGTTTCACTTTTAGTCAGTAAACAGTTTTACCTTGTGCTGAGCGGTGTATAAGAAAGCGGGCACGGATGTGGCCATGCAATTGAACGTAATAGGTGGGCGTTCTACGTGAGGTATCTCTTCCGCTTCTATGGATGGCACAGGCGTCACTACACCTTCTTCTGTCTTGATTTCAGTTAACAGCTCCAACTGGGAACAACAGTTTGCTTGAAACTTATTATCAACTGTTGGTCACACGGTTAGCTCTATGCAGCGGGACTAAGCATTGTTACGGGCTTTAAAATTTCATAACAGAATATTGTGATGTCAACATGGCATGCTCGCATTAGTTGCAAATTTTACTCCGCTTTTTGAGTTTGACTTAATACACCTATGATCTATACACAATATTTTCATAACAAGAAATAAAATGTGCTATATTTCAATACGCAATCTACTTATTATTATTCACCTGAGCAGAACCCTCCCTCATATGTCGCATTCGCATGGCCCTGTGCTCCACTGTCTCTGGCATATAGTGGAGTGTATGATCAGTATGTGAGTAGAAAGGTCCACCTATAAAGACACAAATAACTTAAATATTATCTAACGTGAAAGAAACACACTTTAATACATACATAGCGAAAGGATAATGAGCGGGACGTTGAGCAGAGTAAAATAGTTTTGTTATTCCACTAGGAAAAAGTTTCACTGAAAAGAAGTATTTGCCTTCCATAGCCAGCGGGCTAAACAGAGTGAGCTAGGCGGGAAATGACATGGGTGAAATGAGCGAGTTGTTTGCCTTCGATAGCGAGCGGGCTTGGAAAAGTAAAAAATCAGTTTCAGTTTTCGTTTAGTGTAAAAAAATCAATTCAATGTTTTAAGACATAGTAAATGCTATGAATTTTATTTTTATTTATCTTTCCACTAAAATATTACAAATCACTATTCACTTTGAGCACTAATATTTGCCTATGCGCAGTCTGTTCAAAACTAGCGCGCAACACAATGACACAGCGGACCCATCTTAACTGGCCGAGTCCGCTTCGCTCATTCGTTAGCGGTGGAAGAAATACTACAAAATTTACTGTTGCGATTCAAACAGAATCTGTATTGGAAACCCGCTCAACTCTGCGACCTCATTTGTAACTCTTTCAACTCGCTCAGTCCGCTCCACTCTCGTTTCCGGTGGAAGCACTTCTATGATGTTTACCGTTGCGAGTCAAACGGAGTTCGTGCGAAATCCGCATCACTCGCAGTGGTAGGCATAGAGTGTGTGACGCTCTCAGATGCTACAACAGCAAAGAGACGCTGCTGCAGATCTCCTCGCTTTTACCCTTTCGTCAGTTTAGGATTACCACCGTAATCACAATCACTTGTAAATGAAAGTGATGTACAGCACACAAATCGACTATAGTTCCTTACCTTCCGTCCACAAAGGGTCAGTGAATAAAAGGTCTTTCCACAATAAGTTGTCATGTTTCCTCCTCTTGAGCGTGTCTCCATTTGGGCATACCAAGAGCATATTTTTGCAATTTACTTTGTCATAATATTTTCGAGCATAACTGCCTTTAACTCGAGACCTTGGGGATTCTAGAATTTGTTTCATATCCCACCAATACTGCCTGTGACGTAGCTTCTCGTATTTTTCGAGTAATTTCTCTATATGTTGCATTCTGAAATTAGGGGAAAATTAATATCTATTTTTTATATCCATTGTTATTAAAGTTATTATCCTCGGTCAGAGTAGGCAGTACAAATATTGCTTGGTCTAATACAAATATGAAACGAAACGAACAAACGAACATGAAACTACAGAAGCTACTTGAACGCAAAAATCACTTAACGTTCAGTTTCAATGACGACCGAATACTTTCTTTATGTAGCAAATACAACGTATTTGAATGTTAGATACTCACGCACACAACCAACCGCATACCATAACTCTGTACAACTCAGTCGGCGACAAATCTATAAATCTCGTAAAACCAAAACAACTTGCACTCTTGTGAACACCTCTTCTACTTCTTTCTGATGGATCAGTTTGGTTTGCACTACGATGGACATATTCTGGCACTAAAGTAGAGAATTTGTTGTACAACAAATGTCGTTTGGATGGAAAAGAGCGAATTAGAATACCGTCCTCGGCAATTACTTTTGGTATATGATAGTCGTCAACTTGCATTGCAAAAGGGGATCTTACGTCACGTCTTTCAAACAGCTCAGGGTGGTTGCATACCTGTATAAATATATAGTAAGATGTTCAATATTTTAAGGCAACAGATGCGTGCATTACATTATGTTAACTGAATAATTGCTTACCTTTCTAAACTGCATAACCAAATTCATCAAATTAGACGTGAAATTCTTGTCCACATTGTGACCTGATTCGGCACCTACTGAGTAGTGCAGCAACTCTTCAATTTTTATTTTCTTTTTCAAAGCTGTGTAGAGGATAATGGTTAATAATAATAATAATAAATAGTATAATGTCATAGAACGTACAATCTTGTAACATTTATAGTAAGTAGGTTGGCAAAATTTTACTAAGTTGAGAGAGTTTATATACTAAATCATTATATGGTTAACTTTAAAAAAAGATTATAAAGTTATAAAATATCCGTATAAGTTTTTACAATACTAGCTAGCTAACAAAACTGTTTAATCATACCAGTCATATTTTATTGTCCTAAATAAGTTCTATTAATTCTATTATTATTATTCATGTCAAAAAACCCTGGTAGAGCTACCTACACTACTACCTACGCTACTACATTTTTTTTAAGAGAAACTGAATTACAAAACAAATGAATGTGAGTGTTCCCCATTACGCAGTGTTGTAATAAATATTTAACCTAGTCATACTGTGTCGATGATACTTTAGAAAGATCTTGAACTGACGTGCGTACTCATCATCTATGCCAATTATATCTTTGGTTCAACATAACTTACCTATGTAGAGGAGTTTCTGTCGTATTGTGAGTGGGCAGTGAACCATTATTTCTATTTTGTCCGAGAGCTCATTCTCGACGTCTTTTTTGATGCGCCGCAGCATAAAAGGCTTCAAAATCATATGCAGTCTTGATAAATGTTCTTAAAAAAAAAAGACATTTTACACAATCATTTATCGGAAGTCTTTAGGAAGTCATGGAATCAGCACTGCCCAAGCAGCGCCGATTTTGCACGGAGACTATGTAAAGTTCACAAATACCGAATGTTTTAGAACTTTGCCCGATTGTAATGGGCAGCGTCCAACATTGTTAAACTTATAGAAGAGCCAAGTGGAAATATTTTATTTATGTAGTAACCACAATTTAGTGTCGGTGTACATTATATCATTAAATTTCCCTTGCATATGACCAAGAAAATCTTTCGAACTTCGATTTTCGAAAATACAATGGCAACCCTGTATTTTTTTCGTTGAATGCAATTAATGTTCATGGTGCAAGGTCTACTATTGCGTTGCTGGTAGTTCTACACTACAGTACTAAGGGAACTAAAAGAAAGTAAGCGTTAAAAACATACTTTCGTCGATTGTGCTTTTGTTTTCAGCATGACTTTCGATGTCCTTCGAAAACCATTCGTTGAACTCCTCATGCGAGTCAAACAATGTGGGCATTATGAAGTGCAGCAGTGCCCAAAGCTCTGCCATGCTGTTTTGTATTGGGGTACCTGGGAAGGAATTTCGAAACTTCAACTTTCATTTATTCATTATTGCTGCATGTACAATTTGTGTAAAATTGATCTTAATAACTATCACAATAATAGTACATGAACCCTACTGTGACATTGCAATTTAACATTTGAATTTATAATATTTAGGGTCGTATTCCAGAACTCTACTCAATACTCAAGTCAGGACTTGAGTATTGCGGTGAGCACTGAAAATCATACTCAAGTCCTTGCCATTAGGGTCGTATTTCCAGTGCTTGAAATCACACTCAAGTCTGCTCAAATCCTTACTTGAGCATTGAATAGAGTTCTGGAATACTACCCTCATATTACTAATAATACATTAAGTAACACATGGTTTAAAGATTAAAAGAAATAGGTACGAACAGTTCAACATTAATTCTAGGTCATTATACTTAATTGGGAATTTCCATTTACATAGACTAGATCGTAAAATAGTCATTAATAATATAATTCGATGTCTTTATCATTACAAAATTCATTTACTACATACTAAATTTTTCAATTAAACATATATTTAGTTTAGTAAAAAATGTCTTTTTGTTTATCTTTAATGCGCTGAGGTATAATTGTAAGTCAATGCGCTGAGGTGTTAGATTATGTATTTTAACTGCTCTATAGTAGGCGGAATTACCAATACGTTGTTGCGGCGAGAGCTAGGTGTGAATTTAAAATGATTTGCAACTGATTCTTGGGCCTATATTAACCAGAATACGTTTACGTTTACTTTGCAAGATCAAAACATCATTAGCCTCCGTGATGTGGCCCCACAGCATAACACCGTACCGCGCATGCGTAGTAAGCTGTCAGTGCAGCTTTAAAGTCAAAATTAGATTTTAGAACAGCTAGAGCATAATGTGAATTGCGATAGTTTAGTTTTAAGTTTTTCTATGTGATTTTTCCAGTCGAAGTGTGGAGTCTATCGTTAGTTCTAATAGGTCAAATTTATTTACTTCAAGATTTAAGCTTGTTATTACAAATTTTAGGTCAAGGATTTTCTCTTGATATGGTCGGAATTGTACAATTCTAGTTATTTTTAAGATTAACTTTAATGTTATGTTCAGTCAGTCAACTATTCGCCGATTTAAAATTATCTATTATCGGCTATTATTTTACAGGTTACTTTAACGATTTTTGTTTTATTTTGAACATTGGTCTGTAACATAAAATTAAATATAATCAATAAGGACGTTGTGCTAGCCATACAGGACTCATGAGTATGGGTGACTGTTTTAATTTTTTTTTTAATTAAAATTAATTCCACTATTTGAAAACCTTATCCTGCACAACACAAAGGTGGCGACGGCAGACTTACACAAAAACACAATCGAGCCGAGCATGCCCGAACTAACTACTTTTGTAATCGTGAAAATAGAGAGAGCAACAAATTTAAGGTTGGCCCCGGGCGGCAGGAATAAACGCTAAGCTAGTGGGCATGCCGAAGCATATTTCGCGACGTGCTCAAGGCTAGCTTCAGATCAGTCGTAAAGTCTGTCGAGGCATTCCGCAGGTGGCCGGCTTAGTATCCCTAAGCTAATGGTAGCTTTGTTTTCATTCTCAATTCAATGTTAACATTAATGTATAGTACTATTCGTCATGTCAAATCCCCTACTGTGCCTACCTGCCCCTGGGCGCCGCCCGACCTTAGGCGAAGAACACGCAGACACTTTTTGTACATGGTGTATGACGGTTACGAAACTCGTTGCATCGAACTTAACCTCTGCTCTTATTCACTAGCACTATCTACCATGATAGTTATGTGATATTAAGACCATGAATTTTACAGGCGGATGTCGATATAATAACAATATAAATCTCTAACAAAAATTGTAAGTGTACGTGGTTAAGAACTATATGTAATTCGCTTTCGAACCAAGCGTGCAGATTTGTAGGCAGTGCTTTCCCAATATTCTTTGTTGTGATCTTAGGGATGCTTTGTTTTTGTTTAAAATATTCACAATATATCATGCATGCCAGGAGCTCAATTTCTTAATTTTGTAAATTAGTTAAACACCTTTGTCATCACAACACATTGTCCAAAATCAAATGTACGGACGGCAGTAGTTTGATGTGCTGTTGACTGTACCAACCTGATAATAAAAGCCTATTCCTGCAGCTGAATCCCAAAAGCAGCTTCCATCTCATACTTGCGGAACTCTTAATAGCCTGAGCTTCATCCAATATCATGTATTGCCAGGACACACGGTTTAAGTATTTTAAGTCCGACACCACAATCTGGTAAGAGGTGATGACTACATGGAAGGCTGCCTGCTGTGTATGTAAGTCTTTACGCTCCCAAAACTGACGAAGAATTTTGCGTTCGCTTGGACTGCCCCAGTAAGGTACCTAAAACATAAATGTTGATTATTGAAGATGTTGTAAGTTTTTGTAACACAACTTTTATAAGAACGACAAACGGCCTTTTTCCTATGAATTTATCGAGAGCACGTAGTATTTAATTGACATTTAATGGCCACTCGTCAACGAAACGTCCCTGTTAGGGTCGTATTCCAGTACTCTACTCAATACTCAAGTCAGGACTTGAGTATTGCAGAATACTCAAGTCAGGACTTGAGTATTGCAGTCTGCACTGAAAATCATACTCAAGTTCTTGCCATTAGGGTCGTATTTCCAGTGCTTGAAATCATACTCAAGGCTGCTCAAATCCTGACTTGAGCATTGAGTAGAGTTCTAGAATACGACCCTTAATTCGTCTACTAACAACTGTGGTGTTTGTAAAGTTTCTAATGGCACAATTAGGCATTATTCGCGTCTTCGACTGATGTTTAACTACGATAACGGCCAGACACGTTCTGAAGCGTAGCAGCAGCAATAGCGTTTATAGCTTATTTTGGGCACGCGAAGTAGTTACACTTGCGACATCTATTTAGATATACGTCTGTGGACCTTAATACACTAAAATGACCAAAGCATTCAAGTGTACAATAACCTACTTGTTGCGCTTCATAAATTCAAATCATTTTTTTTTTGCTTTAAGCCAAAGTCCATAAGAAGAGATATTGGGTTGTAGTCCACGACGGTGGTTCAGCACAGGTACACACAGCTATATTTTAACTCAGCGACAAAGAAAGCGATGAATGGGAAATTTTCGAGATGATTCTCTATCTAAGTTCGGTGGCAATTTTTATTATTTAAATATTATAACATTAATAAGTATACATTATAGTGAAATATTAAATAATGTTTCATTCGATCACACTCGAATATAATACTTCATGATAATATTCGAGGATATTTAAATAATAAAAATTGCCACTGAAATTTAAGTAGAGAATACTAACCTGAACATTAGTCAATTAGTAAACTAAACTGCAGATAATTCGAAGTCTCAATAAATAAACTCCCGGACGTGAAAACCCAGACACATACATTTGACAAAGGAGACAAGTTCACATCTATCACAGCTAAAAGTTTATGTAGCCGCAGCAGAAAAGGGTTATTAGTGATTTCTGCATGTGCATACCGAATCGGCTAGGTCCTGTGTTGGTTCTATGTCTTTGGCCTTATTCAGAGTGGCGGCGAGTGCGGGTCTAAATCAAAATACACGTAAACGCTCGTTGCGTTCACCGCCGGCGCCTGAGTCGAGGCGGGCGAGGGCGCGAGTGCGTGCTCTACGTGGTTATATCTATTGGCTCGGTACGCCCGTACCTTTCACAGTGCTTGGTCTAGCGTCTGTACTCGTAGCCACTTCGGCACTGTGAATGCGAAGACGCCAAGAACCGTGCACCCGCGAGCCCGCAGCCGCTGCCGCGCCCGCGCCTGCACTCTGAATGAGCCCTACGTCTGTATAAAATGTATTTCAATCTTACTATATACATACCACTTTAAAATCGGGTACAAAGCGCTGCATTTCTTGTTGCCAATTATGCAGCGTAGAAGCTGGAGATACGACGAGGAACGGGCCCCATACGCCGAGCCGCTCGGCCACGTGACACAGAAACGCAATGCACTGCACTGTCTTGCCCAAGCCCATCTCATCTGCTAGGATTCCGCTAATTCCCTGGAAAATAAACAACCAAGTGTCCTAAACCTAAATCCTGATTTGTGCAGATATTTACGAGGTATTGTGATCCCTTTAATATAACGCAAATGTAGTATTTATAAGGAAGGCAGACGGAGCATAAAAGCATAATTCCAAGCAGGTCTCGAAAAATAAAAACAGTCTAAAGGATTATAGCAAATATCGTCAATGCACATATGGGAGATAACTTTTATTAATTTAATTAACTCAGTACTGCACATTTCATCAAATAGATGTAAAAATTCAGTTTAGTGTTAAGATATTTACCGTCGTCTTGGAGTGAATACGTCGTATGTGATTTCTAAGTAATTTTTCAGGACGAAGATAAAAATGTAGAAAAATGTAGTAAACGCAATAATGTTTGTAGTTAGCATTTTAATAAGTTAAATTATACCTCTTTCAAATACTATATTACTTTAATAATGTATTTGAGCAAGAAGTTTATAAGTTTTTCTGCATCAAAAATCAGTAAAAACGAATGAAGTGCAAACGCACATGGGAGGTTTCACTCTTAGGCGACGTGACCCTATATTTATCTATATACAGACTAGAGAGGCGATATAAAGGCAATACCCAATCGAAAAGTTGGTAATACCTGATCATAAAGATTGGCAAGCCAATTCATGCCCTTCAGCTGGTATCCTTTAAGCGTGCCTTGGAATATCGCAGGCTGGTCAAAATCACCGTTACGGCGGTCACCATCCCCCGCCGCTTCGATGCCTGTCGCCGCGTCAAACAGTTGAGTCCGAGCTCGCTCCACGCGGAATGCTTCGCGCGCGTTGCGAGAAGCTTGAGCTTTCATCGCCTCACTAATATAATAACATAAGTGGTACATTACATCTAATAATCTCAGTACTGAGTACTAAAAGAACCGACCTCAAAAGTTCGTGAAATTACATCTAATTGCAAAGTTTTATTGAAATTGGTTACCGGAAAGTGCGTGAAACAGGGTTCAACACCTTTTTTCCACCATTAAAGACGAAATACTTTTTCAAATTTAAAAGGGACCACGACTAACGTCTTTGCAACAAAAAAGAATCTTCAACATCGGTTCAGAAGAGTTATCGCGTAACAAATGTATATACCAAAAATATACAGTCGCATTGAAAACCTCCTCCTTTTTTTGAAGTCGGTTAAAACTTCAAGAATTAAACTTAAACTAGGGTTTCATTACTAAAGGAATACTGAGAGATCCGTAATGCGTACGCTATCAGTTTGAACACCGCTAATATTTTATTTCTATGCGTCGAGATTTAATGAGCCTAAACTAAATATGAGGATGAATATAGATTTAATAACCTGCACTGAGACATTAGTAAATTGAATGCGTCAAAGTAAAATTATCCATATATTATTGTTGCGCTCAACTTTGTCCTACGTGAAACAAAAAGTATTTTTTTCTTTTAGTATTTAGATCAACTCACTAAGTTTTTAAATTAATCATTTATTTCTACAGTGTAATAATTTTATTAACGTGTTACGTCGAAGTGATGGCCATATAATCAATGGAATCAAGTCATTTTCCTTTAAGCTATTTCATGAAACTTTTAGGAAATAATTAAACAAATATTTTATTATAACAAACATATAACAAACCAAAGGTTTGTTTGAAAAAACAAATATACGCGATTTAAATCCGGAAAATAGTTTCATTTCCTATATATAACAATCGCGAAAACCTAAGAACTCGATAAGTATTTTATTTTGACAGCATTCCGTCACACAAAAGGAAATTAACAATTTAAAAATCCACAATTTTGACAAGTTTGATCTGGTGCATCATGATATTCTTCTGTACAAGATGGAACAGATGGGAATTCACGGATCGCTACTAAGATGGTGTGAATCTTACATACGCAATAGATCTCAGTTGGTGGCAGTTTCTGGTTTTAAATCTGAACTGCGTTTGGTGCCATCCGGTGTGCCACAGGGCTCTCATCTGGGTCCACTATTTTTCCTAATGTTCGTTAACGATATTGCTTTTTCATTGAGTTCGAAATTTAAAATGTATGCTGACGATTTAAAGCTATACAGAGCTGTCAACTCGCCCAATGACGCCCAGCTGCTTCAAGATGATCTTAACAGAGTGCATAGATGGTGTTGTGATAACAGAATGGTCCTAAATACAAATAAATGTTACCACATCAAATTTACTAGGCGTCAAAAACCATCAATTGTCACTTATGTTATCGACCATACGCCCTTAACGGAGGTTACCAGTGTTCGGGATTTGGATGTTGTCCTAGATGCCACCCTAAGTTTTAGAAATCATTATGACTCTATTATAGGTAAAGCTTCAAGGTTAACGGGTTTTGTATCTAGACAAATGAAAATTTTTAAAGAACCAGCAATATCTATTTTAATTTATAACAGTTTAATACGTAGCATATTAGAATACTGTTCCACTGTCTGGAACCCAGGTTACCAGGTTCATTCAGATAGGATTGAACGTGTACAAAAACGTTTCCTCTATCATCTAACGTATAATAATTTTAAATGTAAGCAGTTATTTTCATGAGTCACGTCTCTTTTGTTTTAATATTTCCTCATTGCAGAAACGCCGAAAATCGCTTGACCTGATCTTTTTATTCAAGATTATTCATGGTGTCATCGACGCTCCTGATATATTCGAGTGCTTGTATCTATCTGTACCTCGTCCCGGAAGTCGCCTAATCAATCGTAAAACTTTCGCACTCCCTACTTGCAGAACCAACCTTGGTCAACACAGTCCAGTGTATCGCATGTGTTCTTATTATAATGCTATCAGATATGATTTTGACATGTTCTCTTGTTCTGTGGTCTCAGCTAGAAACTCAATAAGAAAATGTATTATAGAGTGACTGCGCGATGAATTTTAGTTATCTGTTTCCTATTTCATAAATAGCAGATATGTAAATCTTAATTTACTATAATTTTGTTTAAACACTTTGTTTTAAATGCGAAACGCTGTGTTCACATCTAGAAGGACACACTCTTCTCGCCTTATAGTGTTAACCAATCTGTTGTATTTGATTTAAGAGTTGTATCCAGTTTTGTGAACCGAATAAAAAAAAATAGGTGTGTTGAACACGTGTTTGATTAGAAATTTCTAGAACAGTATGATTTGAATAGTGTAAAATAACATTAGCATATCTCGTATGTTCCTATTTTACCTGTCGTAATTATCAATCGCAGCCAGCCGAGGATCCCGGTCTTCGTCTAACTGCCTGAGAATTCTATCTGCGTTCGTGTCACCCTCTTCACTCAATTTTCTTTGCATGAAATGAGCATACAACTCAGTTTGCGTTATTAAGAAGTTTAGTTTGCGACGCTGTCGTTTGGCCTCCATTAGCTCGACATCCATCTGCGGAAACAGTATACATGAAAACGACTTCAGTAAATAGGTATTTATATTGTATATGCATTTTACTCTCGCCTCGCCTAAAAGATTATTATTATTAGGGTAGCTTCATTATGCAGACCATCACTGCGGCGATTAATTGATATATTATAATCAACAGTAATTAGAATTCGGAGAAAACAACAGTTTTAAAGAACTGAAGGATTTTTCTGACCTCGACTGCCGTGCCTGTGCCTTCCCAGTACGTATGTATGAGTTGGAGGAGTTTTATTCACCCCGTGGCAGAATTTACACTCTGTTTACTCTCTGCCCAAGATTTGGGATGTTTTTGTTAGTAAAATGAATGATTAACATTTTCTCGCCTTGAATAATAAGGTTCGTTATAATGTGACGTTACGACCACTAACAAAAACGCGTCTAAGTGGCAAATGGTAAATATCCGTTTTAAGTAGAAAAAAAGCGAGCACAAAATTCTCTTTTAAAAACGGTTAATATTAGTTAACGTGTTCGATTTATCGGAATTTACCCTAACGGTGCATAGCTGAAACATCATTAAACAATTTCAATATTCGAAAACTGGGTTACGGTTTTTTATGATATCTCAAAAAAAAATATTTTGTCTCTCAGTTTTAGTTAACTGACGGCAGATTTAATAGCAGCAATAAAAAGTAGTACTTCTTATGACATCAAGATGGATTATTCTTTATGTATATTAAATATAAATAATAAAATGAAATGACATGATGACATGATTTGTATAAATTAACTTTCATAGTTATATATTGGGCCAAAAAATAATACAAATGCGCATTCAAAATAAAATTCAGATACTTATTTTTAAAACTAAGTAAATGTAGATTATATTTGTTTACTAATATTATATTAAGTGTAATATAATTTAGCCTGATGCAGTCGCGCGTTTGCATCAATGCAATTGCCTTTAAATCGCAAGTGTAGCGATGCAACCGCGCGTTTTGAAAGTCGCCGTGAGTAACCACTCTAAATGTTACAGCCAATATTCTTTTTAATAATTTGACGTTGATTCGATGACCTTGGTGGCTAGGACCTAATTGAATCTAATTTGGGTTGTTCTGGGAAGTACCCAGGAGTGAATTCCATTGCTCTGGTACTCATGGCGCAGGGAATTCCATAATTTGAGACCAGGCATTTGGTATGGTTGTCTGGCACATTATTAATTTACATATTTATAGTAACAGATGGCACTCTCACTAACAGAGGATCAAACGGCAAAGTTGTGTGAGCAGCTTTACTCCTACCTTCCGTTGCTCCTCAGCTTCTTTCTCCATACGTCGGCGCGTTTCTCTTTCAGCTCGATCGTACCGTCGCCAATAAGCTTGCATTTCACGGCTCAACCGTTTGCACCGCCACACTGTCTCCTTCATGTTCTTTTGAGACTGAAAGTTTACAGATAACGTATATTAATAACGTGTAAGTAGGAGGCTTGAGATCTAGAAGCTACCCTGCCAAATGTATTAGCATGGACAGTTGAGTTGTCTTAGGTAAGGTGTCTAAGGTACCAAGGTGGCCGTATTCTCTTAATCCTACCAGTGGTAGGAGCACTCAATATCCTTATGCTTATATCGTGACATCATATCTAACAAGTACACTGAACTAGAATAAAAAATAAAAAAGTCAAAATAATGTTTACTTCATAGGTAAGGAGAAAATTACACTTGAAATCGTGACTTTGCGCTAGCTTATAGTTTTAAACATCATAAATGGCAAACCTTAGAGAATTGATAACATACATACGAGTACTACAATATAAACATAGGTGACAGTACATTAGTAGGAGCACGAAAACATATTTATCCTTTTGATCCTACCAGTAGGAGCATAAGGACATATTAGTTCTCGTGTTTCTACTAGTAGGAGCACCCAGTCCCTGAGGGAAAATTATTACATATAAGTAGTATATAAAAATGTAAACTATATCATTTTTACCTGCATAGCAATTTGTCGCCAGTGCTTACAGCACAAGGTAGCAAATCTCTTTCGTTGTAATGTCACCTCTCTGTGTGTGGACGTCCTCGCTCTTTGCACTTTTCCCAATTCTTTTTTGACTAGCAACTGCCAATGTCGTCTTCTACGAGCGGTCAACGCTTCTGGGCTTTTTAATGTGGAAAGTTTCTTCCTACCTCTGAAATTACAAATTAACACATGACAATATCTATACTCCGAGATGGAATCGAAGACAAAGGTGATGATGATGCCATTACAAAAAATATTTTATTTTTAAGAATAGTGGAAACGTGAAAGGATTTAAGAAATAATGCAAGATGTTTTATAATGTTTTTAAATTGTGGGCATGTACGGACAACGGCACAGCAGACCACACATTTTTGTTCGAAAATCGCCTCCAATGCAACGGCACAAAATACGTCTATGTGTAGCTTGATGTGCTGGAGTGTGTACGAGCAATATTATATTAAACACCCTATTTAATAAAGTTTTTTTTATAACATCAAGTGACGGGACGAACCTGTTGGTAATGTTTTGGGGCTACAAAGTTTTAGGCTGCCATATTCTGTATACAAACACAAATACTTTTAAGCAAGTGTCATTAACAATAATTTATTGCTGTAATACTATTACTTTTATATTTTATCATAATATTTTATGAAGAATAATAAAATAGAAATAATAAATTGATTTAATATTAAATAGTGTAAATTATAATTAATAATAAAAGTAAAAAGTCAGTTTTTGATCAATAAGGATGGATAAGGTCAGGTCGGCGGTTTGCATGCACACCAGACTGAGCTGCATCGTCGTGATTTTGCTCATTCATACTTGACATTTATCTTGTTTTGGTCGAGTATTGCTTATTTGACAATACTTGTTTCGGATGGATTTCGGACAGAGAATGGGAATAGACCCCCAGGTGATTGTCGTTATCGAATCTACTTGCTGAATATGCGTTTTGTGGTTGTAAGTTTCATAAATGTAAATCCCAAAATACTATTTTAAAAGCTGTTCATAAACTATTATTAGACAGTCCTAATAATAGTTTTTGAACAATAGCGAAAAAAATCTTATTGTCTTTTAATTTATACACGAAAAAAATATATATTTAACCCTATTTTGTTCGAGTAAAAACTTAAGTCAATCAATAAGAATCCTGACAATCTTATCAATCATGCCCCAATCATGGTTTAGATTAAATTTCTCTGCTGTTAGACGTACATAATACCAGATAAGGTCACAATATTGTTGTTACAAAACATTCAGTGTCATAAAATATTCATATATAGAATGTTATTCAGTGATCCAAGTACATAATGAAATAATCTTACATTAACTTTTTTTAAACATAAAGTAACTTTTTTTAAGTTAGTTTTTCTACATTGTTGACCTGGCCAGGGATCGAAACCGGGACCTCGGACATGGCGCCACCATGAAAACCGGGGTGCAAGCCACTCGACATCGGAGGTCGTCAATGATTTTGTCGTGTGTGTTAATGATTTGCATGTTTGTGTTATTAATATCTATAATATTTATTACCTGACTCCTGGTTTCTCCACAATAGCGAAATCATCATCATCTTTGTCATCTCTGAGATTACGAAGCTGTTCTTCCCAGTCAATGATCCCGTCCACCTGAAAGAATTTATGCATGAAATATATTTTATTTACAATCGTCCATGATGTCACTAATGAATGAAATCTCTTTGTATCTCTGTCCAGTAGAAATCCCTTGTCTGAGCACCACAAGCGTGAAAATTTTACTTTCGTGTATACCATCTATCTATTGTATCTAGTTTGTTGTATGTATAGTCGGAATGTTTATTCTTCCAACTAACAAGCATAATCTTAAACAGATCGATTAAAAATGAGTATTCAGAAATATTTATTTGTATTCCTAAGCTCCACTGAGTGGTGTGATGATATAATGTGATATAGAAGTACATTAGGTCCTTCAAAAATGTTTACAATTTCACGAAAGTAGCTTAAAATGCATAATCGCAAATTCTTCGTAAATTGAGACACAACATACTAGCATTATATGTGTATTATACTGTGTATATTAATAAAATATAATAATATGAATAACATATATTTATAATAGTTGGCTGAAAAAAACTATAATGTTACAAATTGCTGCATAAGCATATAAATACTGACTCAATACAATGTATGAAATAAAACATTGACTATCACACCTAAATGTTAAGCAAAAATCTTGAAAATTAAGGTTTCTGGCTATATTTTGAATTGAAACTCTATGTCTAGTTATTTTTAGATATAGATTTTTGAAAATTATGATTAAAAATAATGATAGATACCCATTTCTTTAAGCTACTACAATTACTATGTCTTTGTTACACCCGTTACAACACCCCATCTGTTGTTTTACCAATCTGCATAAAGAGAGTCTGAGAGTGTTTAAAAAACCCCAATCTTCAATAAAAGTCTAATTTCTAACTTACCAAGTCATTTGTTTCAGTAGCAGGAACACGAGTATCTTTGGTTCTACCTCGCCTGGCTTTGGCAACACCCCTTGTTGACCCGCCTCTGTCTGAAGGCCTGCCTCTTCTTCCTCTAGCAGGTGGAGGGGGTGGAACAGGCCGACTAATTTTACGCTCTGGATATCTGTCCAATGTTGATAATAGGCCAGCTCCATAATACATGTAACGCGAATTCTGTTAGAAACACCATATTTTAAGTCGATGGTTTTTACTTTTCTACATAAATTCATGGTATTATGTTTTCACACAGCTACTTTGATTTCTGTGTCTAAGTAGGGCTGATTGGAAGCCTCTTCCAATTTTCTATACATATCTTAACAGGCAGTTAACATGCCATTGTGTACATAATTCTATTATAGAAATTGGAAATGTGTTAGGCATTAAAATATTAGTAACTTCTACTAATATTTTAATAAAAATGCTGTTTAGCACTTTATAATGATGTATGTATGTGCTATCATACTATAAATATAACTGAAACCTAAATATATCTCATTTCACACAAAATACTTTGTGGTTCAGTTGATATATTTAGTCGAGGTATTTTGCATAAGATGCATTCTTTTCTCTTTACTACTTATTTATATTCCAGCATTGACTATGATTTATCTAGGGGACCATCTAATAAGCGACCCATAAATCATAGTCTTTGCACATGCCTTTTCTTAATTTACTCGTTTTTGTAGACCAACATCACAATTTGGTCAACTATGTTCGTTTTCATTGTCATAATGAGTAAAACATAAAGTTGCACCACTTGCCAGTGAAAACTTAACAATTGGTGAACAGTGTGCAAATGGCAAGTGTGAAGTGAAGAAGTTTGCTCACTTTCATTATTAATTTTTTTGAGAGAATGTTACAATAATTTTGCCAGAATGTGAGCCCCATGGGGAACAGCGCCCTATATCTTTCTAGATTACTTTTGATTATAGGAACCCTCCCACTGGTCCTTAGGGAATACGAGAAGGGCACTATAACCTGGGCAAGCACAGGGACTTTCCACGATCAGGTTCTAACCCCAGATCAGCCAGTGTACAGGGTTATCACAGATCTCTGTCACTTGACTTTATCCGGTTCTCGAGAGGTTAGTGCCTCGGTTGAGCCGCCCCGGGTGCACGTACAGTACCCTCCCTATTTTCCAGATAGGTACTGAAGTACAACTAGCGGTTGCCACCGATTAGCCGTCGACTCTAAGTCCACTATCAAATCTCCTCATTGGTGGCGGAGCTGTAAGGTACGCTCGCTTCCCGATGCCGAAAAACGATATCTCTCCAGTTCCCGATAACCTATGCGGCTGGAGGGACCGGAGGATATCTAAAAAGTAGTCCTCCACTAGATCTCCGGGCTAGTGCCGAAGATGCCAGTCGCACTATCCTGCGACAACGTCCGGACATAGCTTCGAGCTTAAAGAGCAACTCACGTGCCCCCCGCGACTCCTAACTTCAGACCCTCAACTAGACCGCTACTAAGACGCGGTAGCTGCAGACGCGGTAGTTTCATAAGAGCCTGTTCATAAACAGACCACGGTCTCAGTCTTTTAGTGAAAATGTATTACCGAATAGAACAGTAGGACAGGATAAAATTGTTATAGAGCCCAGTACTAGTGCTCCTGAACAACAAAACTCCAATGAGCCATGTATTGAAATAAACAAAAGAAAGCGCTCGAGAGAACATAAGTGATCATATGCAAAATAAACCTAACTTAGCATCTACAGGCTCAGTCAACCAATACAAACTTCAAACAGATTCGGTCACCTGAATGTGGAGGATAATGCAGAGAAGAGTGGACAGGACAAGGAGAAAATAACCAAGCCACCACCTATATTCGTAAACAAAGTCGACAACATACGACCCTCACAATAATTACTTGAAATACATGGGGTAAGAAATTATGAAACAAATAAATGACAATAGAGTAAAAATAAGAACCATAGCTCCTGATACTTCTAAAGAAATCTTAAAGCAATTGGAATCGAAAGAAATGGACACACAAAATGTTATTGTCATCGCACACCCAAATGCATCAAATCACTGTGCTCGCAAAGAAAGATCTGATTCAGTAAAATGTATCTTATATAGAAAGCCGCCTGGGCTGCCACCCCACAACAACCAGTTGGTAATGGCACTTATATTATCCAAAATATATCTTGGAGCTGGTCAAACTAAAACGTCATACTAGAAAGTTGTGGCAACAGACCAAATTCCCTGAACATAAAACTAAACTTAATAAAATTGCAAGTTCACTGAAAGAGGCTCTTGAAACATTCAGAAACAAAACCATGGGGAACTATCTTAAAAACTTAGACGCAACACCAGTCACGGACTATTCACTTTGGAAGGCGACTAATAAACTTTAAAGACCAATAATTCATCAATGTCCCATTAGAAAACCAGATGGTACTTATGCAAAGAGCGATGAAGAAAAGGCACAGACATTTGCCCGTCACTTATCGAACGTATTTACGGCAAACGATGATTATGGTTCCAGCAAAGTCGAAGACATTGTTAGAATTAACTAAACCACATCAATTAGAGCTACCAATAAAAAAATCCAGTAAACGAGGGTTAATAAACGCCATCACAAAAAAAAGACATCCATAAGACCCCGGGATATGACTTAATTACCGCTAGGGTGCTGAGAGAGCTGCCCGATATCGGTATAAAGTTCCTTCTACAAGTTTATAATGCATGTCTCTGGAGAAACTTCGTACCACCCCAGTGGAAAGTCGCTGAAATAATATTGATACCCAAGTCCGGAAAGGATAATACAGAGGTCATATCCCACCGCCCGATCAGTCTACTACCAATACCTTCCAAGAACATGGAAATACTTTTTCTGAAACGTAATGCACCAGAAGTGACCGCTGTCAAACTGATCCCGGAACACCAATTTGGGTTTAGACAATCTCATCGTATCAAATTCACTATGCTTTCGAACACAAGCTACATTGCTCTGCTGCCTTCTTATACATATCACAGCCTTTGACTGTGAATGGACTACTGTACAAAATACGCAAAAATTTACCCATAAACTGCTATCTATTCATAAAATCCTATCTTAGTGAAAGATATTTTTACGTTAAGTACGGTATAACAAATCTCGTATTTTAACATAAATGCTGCAGGCGTGTCACAGGGTAGCGTAATGGGACCGATGCTCTACCTTATTTTACCTTATTTTAACCCCCAGCTAAATTTCGACAAGACAGCTTGCAGGGACAAGAAGATAATTAAAAAAAACAGTTTATTATTTGTATAACTTAGTTGTTGTCAACACGCAAGTTCTGAATCACAACAGAAACAATAGTGAAAAAAAGCGCCACAACACAAACACATTTCAATTTAAAATTGAAATATAAAACTACACTTAAAAATTATAAAATATATATACAAAAGAGATTTGTAGCGACTGCTGCGATTACTAGGCTGCACTCCAGATTGTGGAAAGATGGTGCTGAGCATTTATGAACTATCAGTAAACCCAACAAAGACAGAACTAGTAATGTTTACAAACAAAAGATTACTGGGGAATTACCTACTACCCAAACTTTTCAGTACAGAACTACAGTTATCAACCGAAGTCAAAAGTACCTGAGAATGATACTAGACAACAACTTGAACTGGAACAAGCATTAGGACAACAAAATTAAAGAAGCCACTATCAACTTCTGGCAGTGCCTTAGAATGGTAGGTAATGAATGGGAACTCACCCAAGATAACACTATGGCTCTATACAGTGGTGATAAGATCATGATCGGATAACACTATGGCTCTACACAGCGGTAATAAGACCATGATCAGCTACGGCGCGATAGTATGGTAGCCACGAACCAAACAACGACATGTCGCAACTGACAAGCTGGACAAATCCTAAAGCATGCATGGCGACGACTGGCATGAGAACAAGTCCAACAGCGCTCGAAGAGATGCTGGACCCGTAACCCCTCTCACTGTTCATCAGACAGGAAGCAGGGTCAACAGCAGTGCGTCTAAACAGAGCTGGCCTTTGGAAGCACATGAGGATCCCACATTACAAGACTGAATAGGATCCCAAAACAACACATAATTGACAAAAAATACAAGATACAACTGTTTGAAGATCCCAATGAAGGACTGAACCCCAGAGAGGTCAATGTATTCACTGATGGATCAAATACAAATTCAGGAACAGGTGCTTCAGTACTGAGGTATTCTCAGAAGACATTAATATCAGGATATGAACCCTGCTTGGTAAGCAGAACACAGTAATCCAGGCTGAATATATGGGCATCAAGTTGGCAGCAGAAGCAATCATAGTGAGAAGAATAAAGAATCACTCCATTCGAATACTCTCTGACAGCATGTCAGTACTTCAAGCACTGAGCAGCTATGATAATCAGGGCTCATTTATGAATGCCATCCAGCACTCATGGAGGTATGTATACACAACCACATAGCCTTACAGTGGATTAAAGGAGAGCAGCTCCACATGGCAATGATGCGGCAGATGAACTAACCAGAAATGGGTCAGACATGCACACTGTAGGACCAAAACCTATAGTGAGTTCTGGTCCTACCAATGATCAAGAGTAACTATACACAAAAGTACAAAAGCTTACAAGCCTGTCTACAACCCTTACAGTTTGTAGACAGGCTAGGGAAGCTCCAATGCCACGGCCAATGCTCAATGCCAGTATATCTCGAATATGAATTAAACTCAAAAGGTAAGAGCTTCGCACTATAACTGCAAAATGGGTCAAGGTCCATTCATTTTCAATTTAGCTATCATAGACAGCCCTCTATGCAGAGCATGTATAGAAAGGGAGGAAACAGCAGCACACATCCAACTGCAGTGCTCCAGTGTGCCTAACTACAGGGTGAAATACCTTGGATTGCCGAGGTCACTCCCTGAAGCTTCAGCAAACTGAGGAGATTACTGGGATTCCTGGAGGAGCTTGAGTGGCACGAGTAGAAATAGACATAGAAACCATTTATTGTAACGACACATTATAAAAAAAAAACACAAAAATAAAGACTAATATAGCTAGAACAGAAATAACACAAAAAAACAGTGTAAAAAACATTTAAACAACAAGTTACATAATACTATACTGACATGTGTGGCTATGGTGTGTACAAAAGGATCCCATTCAGCTAAAGTCACAACCAAGGCTTTGACGCTGTGACGCTGGTTTTCAATGGGCCCTAGCCGAGTGAGTGAGAGTAATGGACGTATGCATCCCGAAACAGAACATAAAATAAATTACGTAAATACTTATATCATGAGTGTGTATAGTGTTATTGCAGTGTGTACTCTTATATCGAATAAATACTTACATAATCTTTGCAATATATACAGGTATAAGTGTGTGTAGTGTGAAAACAAATTAATAAATATTTAATACATATTTAAAGTACATTACTTCAAATATTATTATATATTATAATTACACAAGATTATCTATCTTCGTAAAATAAAAAGTTCTTTGACTTCAACATTAAACAACTATTGTTCTTACGCAGTTACTATTTTGAATAATGCTATGTGAATTAACATGTTTAAATGTTTATGATTATTAAGTTAAATAAAAATATACAATTAAAATAACGTATCACTGTTATAAATATAATTTCATTATCATATTTTATTAGAAGTAATTCAATCGAATCGAAAAAAATAAAAAATAAAAGATATAGGAGCGCCCTCGCAAGATCCGCCATATTTGACACTAGTAAAAAGATGTTGTGAACTTGTGATCAAGAAGGAAATATTGATGTAGATGTTTTTATTGAGCTTTCAAGTGTAATTTACTAATTTATTAACAAAACTATGAGTCATAACCTGTTTTGTTCATGAATCTGTTAGCTGCATGGGCACCGAACGAGTTACGGGAGAAGCGCGGGGAGGGGTCCATAGCTAACACAATATAACAAGACATGACCACAAATTAGAAAGATACAGTAGTGTATCTTTAGTGTATATTCAAGAGTAGGACCCTGCATCCACCACACACACAAAATAGATGACTTGACATCGAGTTGCGAACACCAGCCCATTACATTAAGTACAATTGCTATTGAAACAGGTCACACTTACCCCTGCATCTTTATAGTAGTCTTTAAGATATTTATTGTTAAAGGTTTTTTCTTTCAAAAGCCTTTTAATTCTTTTCTTTTTTCCTGCAGGTGTGTCCTCATCACTAACTTCCGATTCTGAAGAAAGCAAAGCTTTGCGAATCCACTCTCTTTCTGTGCCCACTGATGCAAAATTATACAGACGTTGGCGATCACCCTGACGGTCTGCAATTTAAATGACACTGATATAGCCAGCAAATAGTTGGTTAAATAAAGCATAATAATATGTACAAGTTCCTGGGAGCTTTCTTACCACCTGACATTTTTATGGGGCCATAACATTTAAAAGAAGAAATACCACCTGCTAGGGTCTACCCTACCAGGTGGTATTTCTTCTTTTAACTATTTATAGTGTAACAAATAGGCGAATGTTTAAACACCCCATAAAAATGTTACAAGTCTATGTTTGTCCACATCACTTATCTTGTAATGGTTTGGTACACTATAAATATGTATACGAGGTATAAGGGTTACAAGTGCATTTTACCTTTCTTAGACGTGCGTACACCACGTATAGATTTGTCTCCTTTTGCGGTCTCGTTAACGATCGACTTATCAGATTCGTCATCGCTGTCAGTAATACCATCGGAGTTTAAGAACTTTTCCACCTGCGTGACAAACGGTCGAATGTCCACCGCAGATTCCAGCCTTTGAATATGCACCGGCTTAGCAGAATCATGATTTTTCAGTGGGGTTTTACCCAGTAAAGTTTTAGTTTTCGACATCATCCCGTCTGAAAAATAACGAGAACATCCTCAGCGGAATATCAGCGAAACTGATGGTAAAACGTCTTTCTTTGGCAATTTATTGAAACAAAACAGCATCAGATATACGATAAACGTGACCACACAGCAACAACCACACATGAATCGTTGATAATTCGAATGTATTACCACTGAACAGAAATTCCAAAAAGTCGAACTTACACAGGATTTGCTATCCCCCGGGATGACCTCACGATTGTTACTTAACTCTAAATACTGCGGTATTCACAAAATGGCGAACGAGAATATTCGACAAAACGCTGTCAATGTCGCCGCCTGAGCGGCGCAAATAACTGCTCATTTCGTATTTAGGCTTGAAAAAACACCAACCCGCCATAATTGAAGTCGGTTGACAGACTGTATCCTACTTTTCTGTCTTGTTATTGGGTGTAAGGCATATTGATTTAATCACCACCAATCGCAGGTGGAAACTAATATTCATTGACCAATCATATTTAACAGTGTAGGTGTGTACCATGAAAAGTAATCGAAAACAGATTATGGTTAAATTATAGATGCATTCAAATTTTGTTAAATAGTTTTCATGAAAACCGTTATGACAAACCGGCATCGGTAAAACCGGTAGTTAAACACCCTAGAGAAGCGTCAGGTCTACCAACATAATACGCAAAGCCTATACGATGGAAAAAATCGAGAGGCGGAATTACTCAATTATAATTTTTACTATCTATACCATACAATTATCTATACCGTACATAGGCATTTTTACTTGACGTTGGCGGAATTATCGATTACGATGGGGCCATAGGGACCATACGTGTCCTACATGATGGCTGGACCAAACGAGATATACAAATCAAACTGTGCTCATTATTTACTACTATTTAGTACCTTTATTGACATATTTTCTACCTTTGCCCTAATAGAACTATTAAAGAAATAAAGTGGCCAGCCAATCTGACGTCAGGTTGGCTGGACCATGTAATTGTTAATAATAGTTTTGCAGGCGCTTATACTAAGCCAACAATGGTTTCTGGAATATCTTTTCAAGCTACGTCTTATATTGTAACAGTTCAGTAAGATTTCTGAACACTGGATCACAGGGTGAAGGAAGGTCATTTTTATCTAAAAAATACTTTTCAAACCTAAAACTCACTTTTTTGTTCTTCTAACGGTAATGCTGATGGTCTACCTCTTTTCCTCGTTTATGTTACTTGTTTTTAATTTTTTAAAATTATTAATGAGATTATGAAAGCGGACTTTGCACAATTATTTTCACCATTGTAAATATTTTGGGTAGTTCCGAATATTTACTATCAAATGACAATTAAACGATTATTAAATAACTGATTATAATTCGTTCGCATTCCTTAATACCTACACATAGAATTTACATTTGTAACAGTAAATTCAACTAGTAATTAATATAATTATAGCTTGCAAAGATAAGCTAAAACAATTGTTGGCATAGTCTAAGTGCCTGCAAAACTATTATTAGCCTTCTCCGTGTAATTTACATGGAGAAGGTAAACTGTTTTCTTTAGATGATAATTTTTACAAAGGTACGTTTTATAATTTTTTTTTTTACATAACATTTTATAGAAGCTTCCTAAAATAGTGAAAAAAAGTATGCTTAGGTGAAAATTTGGTAGTAAATAGTTATATAAAGTAAATTATATACTGCTAGAACCATGGAAAACGTAAGGTGGTCCAGCCAACCTGATGTCAGAATGGCTGGCCACTTAATTTCCGTTAGCACAAAGGTTGAAAATGATGTCAATTAAGGCACTTAATAGTAGAAAATAGGTACTAAATAATGAGCAGTTTATATCTCGTTTGGTCCAGCCATCTTGACGGACACGACCGTACAATGATCTATACGAGGGCCATAACATTTAAAAGAAGAACAAGTAATTACCACGCGTAATTTAGCTTTTTTCGGTGAATAGTAGATTCTGTAAATAACGGAATTGTATAGGTACTCAACGATAAATCACTACTAGTTTATCAGACTGGTTTGGCCAAAGGGAAACACCGTTTTATTATACTTTTATTGCGCATCATAGAGGACTTAGGGTCGTAATCCAGAACTCTACTCAATGCTCAAGTCAGGATTTGAGCAGACTTGAGTATGATTTCAAGCACTGGAAATACAACCCTAATGGCAAGGACTTGAGTATACTTGAGTATTGAGTAGAATTCTGGAATAAGATACATAGAACAATAGCAATTAATCACAAATAGCTCGTGTCGTATGAGGAGGTGTTTAATAATTAACAGTGCAAATAAAACGCAAAGGATAAGAGAATTGGTTTTCTTTTTTACACATCAATAACCTAGTCCTTATATTATACGCGTTTATACTTAAAATACAATACGAATCTTGACTCTTTCCTCTAAGTTATATTTTAATAAAAAGTACTATGTGAGACATATCAATAGTTCCAATAAAAAAGATCCCTACTATAACACAATGTGCATTTCGACGCTACTAAATCTTGAAATTTTTCCACTCATGCTAATCGGTTAATATATTTCATATTTCACCAATGTATAATGCATACGCAGATAATGTTAATAAATTTGAACAGAATCGAGCTACGGAATATGCACAAAAAAGTTCAATAGGTATATCGCCTAACCACTGTCGCTAAAATTAGTAAATTTCTATAGCATACTGCGTCTTTTGATTTATACTACAGACTAAAATAATTTCATTTTCTCATCTGTATAATAATATTACGACCATATACAAAATTCAAAGCAATGCTCCGCACTACTTGATCGTTACGTACTTACTACGTCTGATCGTGTAGGCTAGACCGCATGCTTAACACTTCATAAATTAGCGAACATGTTGGCCACGTTAGTCAACTTGTTCGTAAAATATTTGCGGACATAACAAGCGATATATTACATGAAAAATGTAGGATAACGTAGCTCAAGCCAGCTCCAGGATTACAACAGAAAGAATTTCTCAGAGTGCTTACGTTTTATCCCACCAAAAACATAAAAGTTAATAAAAATGGGCGAAATTCTTTTTTTGACACTTGTTTGGAGACAAAAGTATTGAAATCCGACTCAACGTTCACTATGGCTGAACCAGTTTGGAATTAGTGTTATGTTTAAGATAAGCTTCGATTAACATTTAGAGCTTATTTCATTGAAATCAGTTGACAAATAAAAAACACTTGACAATTTTAAAGTATATCTCGTGCGCGCTCGACGTGACGCGTGCACAAGATGGAACGAAGTCAGAGTGTTGACCAAACAATTTAAATATTAGTCATCAGTAAATCTACACTTCATAGTAGCGAGACGATATACCTAACTTTTATATTTAAACCACAATAGCGGTTTCAATGATAAAAGTAAATTGAAAATAATGTTAAGTGTACTTTTTTATTAACAATATAATAACAAATTGAAAATTATAACCAATCAAGTGTCCTTTTTTACATTGTGGGCACAGCTAATAATAGCCAGTAATATACTCATTCGCATAAAACACGTAAAATAATCACAGAAATAATAACATTTATGCTTTTAGTGGGATAACACCCCATGGGTGGCTCCAACTACGACGCCGGCATCGCCACCGCGCCGTGATATGAACATAATCCCGGGTAATTAACTTATATGTTTAAATATTGCAAGTATTGCAACACATTTATCCTATGTTTTAAAATGAGTGTTCAAAGTCCATGCCTAATGACTGATATACAAAGTAGAAAAAATATACATAGCAACCATTTTAACAACAGTAAGATGGTCGTTGAAAGTCATCCGAGTGGCACAATTGTTTCACCAATCAACCATTATGAAGCAGGACAGATGTATCGTCGTATTCAATCTTGGGGAAAAGTCTGAAACAAAGGTATAATGTTAACTGTTACAACTTGTAATGAGCCTTGACCCTTCGTAAATAATAAGTTTTCAATAGTGGTCCAGACTTAGATCTCTTTTTTAAAATGCTTTTGGAAATATTGACATACGAAAGCCGAGAGTAAATCTAACTAAATTGTTCTCTACCTTTAACTCGTGAGGAGAGCAATATTTATTTCTTTGACCATTTTGACGCGATGAAGCATCTTGGCGAGGGCCTGACGACTCAGTGGTTGCGTAGAGTACCACACTGGTGAATCGGGGACGCATGATCTCTCTGGCTGGAGATAGAACACGTCATTACGTGTGCGCACTGACTCCGGGCTGCATGAAAAATAGGATATTACATATAGTGTAGACTATACACACATATATCTCACAGATATGAAAATTTATTTGATGTTTGCTTCTCAATGGACTTAGTTTATATGTTGTGGCTGGGTAGCTTTTATCAATTGATCAATTGAAATTTTAATTAAATGTTCGTTTATTAACTCACCATTTGGAAATATAAAATTCATACAGTTTAACTGGGCAGCGGAGCGGGTTTTCTTCATTTTCTTGTTGTTCGTACACTTTCTTTTTCCTCGAATTCGCTTCTGTAAAAAATAAATTTACAGATAATAATATAATTGTTTGAGTGATAACTACAATGTTAGCGGATTACGTGCGCGTTAAAGCATGCCCACCGAGTGCAGACTGCGGAGGATAGAACCGAAGTAGGACGTTTCGTGATCCTGGTATTTTGGCCTGTCCTGGCTGGTTCGGATTGCGCTTCCAATGCTTCATTATGTGTGAGAATGATAGCTGCATGTGTTCTTCCACTGTCTGCAATCAAATGCAACTGTTAGCAAAGACATATTTTACAGACGTTTAGTAATAAAATGGTTTTCATGAAATTAACGACGTCGTGCTATGAGAAAGCATTACAAAGACTGCACTTACCACCAGATTGAAATGTTTAGTGTTAAAGAACATGAGCGTTGACAAAAGAACGTGCGGAGAATGTGCCCCTAGCTGCTTGCTCTCCCACAAGTGTTCTTCTTCCACACGCGTTACTATGTACTCTGAAAAAGGACTTTAATTAATATCATGATAACGGATTAAACAATCTGGTGCAACGGATGCAATACTCTCAAACGAAACTAGCAAGTAGTTCTTCTTCGACAATAGGAATTCTACTACATTAAACAAAAGTACTCACGAGAATCGTTATATAGGACAGAGAACTTCCTAGCCACTTCATCTAAGCAATCAGTGAATTTCTCATAATATGGATCTGTGAATATGTTGTCTATGCGTCCGTTTTCAAACAGATATTGTTGTATGCCTGAAAATATAAATAAAATTCTTAAAGTTTGCTTATCTCCGTAATAAAACTTAGGCAAATATGTAAAGAAAGGTATATAAATAATATTGGTATTACAATGTTTGATCACTTACCTAAGACCAAATAATAAATAGTATCAGGTGCATATTCACTGCCGTTTGGTTTCCGAACTTCTTTAACGAATAGACACAGTGAATAGTTAAGTTCGTCTGCAGTGAGTTGCAATATCTCCGATTTGAAAGGTTTCCGTCGTATTGAGCTCTTCTCTATTTCAGCGTTCTTGGTCATAACCCATTGTTTCCATGCGTTTACGCCAAAAGTGTACTGTAAAGTGTTTAAATTTATGAATATAATATTATAATATATGGAAAGATAAATTAAGAAAGGACTCAATAAGTCATAAGGAATGGTAGTATTCAACCGGTTTAAAAATATAATTATTATATCAACAGCCGGCTGTATGATAAATTTTTGACAAAACACAGTTTTAATACGGGCCTAGCTACGTGGCGTAATGCAGTACCTAAAAAGTCTTACGTTGACAATTATATAACTCGTGTAGGTACTTTATTCTTTACTCACCTTCAAACACATGTTAGCATCTGGTTTTTCGACAGGTTCTCGCGGTGGTTCTGGTTGGGGTGGTGGAGGCGGTTCGGCTCGGCGGCTGCGCTTAGTGCGACTGGCTGACGTGCGAGTAGCGGCCGGTGGTGGGGCTGTGCGCTTGCGAGGCACTGCGGCGGCCGACGAAGCGCGCAAAGCGGCCACCGCCCGTTGTTGTTCCAGCACCATCATGTGATGATGGTGCATACCCTCGCCTTCCAAGCCTGGAGTAAATGAAATTTTAAATAATACCATTTACTTATGTCAAATTACTTTAAAAATTATTTATCCTGGAGTTTTATTCCATAGAATTGGGTCAAATTATACCGTAATTTTTTATTGTGATCTCAACCTCATACACATTTAAATTACTCACCAGGCATACCAGGATGAGAGCTTGGAGTAATTGTATTTGCTGTCATAGCAGACTCTAAGTCAACTGGTTGATCTTCGTATTCTGTAGCCATTTTGAGTGCCATCTGCAGCATATCTTCGCCGAATGCATTATTTCCGTCCATTCCACCGACAGGACTGAAGCCCTCTTCTGTAACAAAAATATTTTATCGCGCTGCTATTATACTTGGATCTATATTGTTAAAATGTTTTCGACGTGCATTAAATTAATCTCACCATTTTCATCTTCGGTCTCTGAATCACTTTGATCTTTCTTTTTGTCTCCAGCGACCATCTCAGCCATCATCAGCAGTTCGGCTTCAAATGGATCAGTCGGCATCTTATCGTGGATCTTGTTGATTTCTTTCATTATGCCTTTGGCAGAGTTTCTCGTAGTAGGAATAAATACCGGAGTCGGTATGGGAATCGGGATAGGTATAGGCACCGGGAAAGGTAGTGACCACATGGCACACGGTACAGGAACGTAAATGGGCACAGGAACTGGGATTAAAACCCTGCGTTCGAGGCTCGGATCAGTCTGGCACTCTTTCGTACATGGATGCGGGCGACAGGAAACTCCCTTGGACTGCGTCATTGGTTTTGACATAGTACCCTTATTAGCCACTTCATGGGGAGGCAAGGTCTTGACGATGACATGGTTGAATACTTTCGGAGGTGGTGGTGGCGGGGGCGTTGGCGGTTTAGGTGGGGGTGGCGGAGTTTTCGGTACTGCAGGAGGCTCAGGCTCCGGAGGAGGCTGCTGGTTCAAACGTTTGGACTTGCCACGCGTCACTGCAGGCATGAGAGGCGGTGGCGCCGCCAACGACTGAACGTTTGAGATGATTGGTAGCCCACTGCGCTGTTGATTTTTCTGAGAAGCTGTAAGACCAAGAACTGAGCTTTTGAGTACCAAGTTTAATTAAAAACAATATTAACAACAAAATGCTCAACTAGGCCTTACAATTGTTTTTTCCACCGCTGCCCGAATAATTACGTCGTGGCGCACCAGTAGGAACGGCTTTCTGTTGATCGATGGATTCTCCAGGGAGCCAGTTGCCTCCAGGAGCATGTTTAGAATATTGACCCTATTACAACAGAAAAACGACTTTCAAGAGACGTTAAGTTTATTTTAATCAGTATAATATGGTACAAAACCTTTGGACTTATACCTGGAATTGCATGACGCACTGGTAAGTGCAGAAGTTACGTACGGTCGCATCAGACATCGTCAAATGGTATTGTGCCAAAGAGGTTCTCTTGCACATGTCACATTTTGTTCTGGAAAACATAAGTAAATTATTAGAATTAAGTATTGCATTTGGAGCTGTTTAAAATATGTGATATTAACAAATTCTACATACTTCCTCGAAGACACAGCGTTAATCGACACTTGATAAAGATTCAGGCAGTTCAGAGAACACATCATTACTGCCTGCCCATTGGATTGCATGCGTTTGATCATGTCAAAGTTGTACTTCTTAACCTTGCACCAGTTGCAGGGAACAATGTGCCGCGAGTTGCTTATAAATACATTCATACATGACTTCGAGCAGAAGCACTGCGGAGTAGCGCCATCATAAATTGTAAAGCATTTGCTTTGCTTCCTTTCGAAATATTTTTTGCACCAACGGCACTGATCTGTAAACGTAAACATAATATTAAAATACTGAATATACTACGCTGCTCGTATACATTTGGGCACAAACGAAGTTGAAATTACCTGGAAAAATATTGTTCACGAATTTAAATGCAGCGAAACACGGATCAGAGCACAGTCTCTGGTATGAATCCTCACTAATCTCAACCTCAATAGTTGTCGCCTTTTCTAATGAACATACAGCGCATTTGGCCCAAACTGGTTGGGGTACAGGATTTTTGCTCATGTGATCGAATTTCTCCATGCAAACCTGAGAGCAAAAGTCTTTGAACTGCCCTTTATCTCCGACAGGCGCAAGAAAGCCTTGATGTCCAGAAGATATGTCTTTTTGGCAGTAGCAGCAAATTTTCAAGCCTTTCTTAAACTCTTCTAAGCAACCAGAGTTACAGAATTGGCGAATGTCGTATCCAAACCTGACGCAGTATTTCCCTAAGCTCGTATGCTGCACGTTATTCTTGCAATTGGCGCACCTTGCTCCAATTTTGTTTTGGTACCGCCCTAAGCAGACTTCGTTGCAAAAATCCATTGTTTCCCAGTTCAGCAATTTATCATCAGCATCGAGTATCAATGTGCATTGTGTGCACCTGCGAATGAAGGTGCGCTCCCTTTCCTCTCTAGCTGCCTGTACCATAGCCGGCGTTTTGGCTTGTATTTTGTAGGCTTCGTCCAAATATTTGTCTGTAGCATTACTTATTACTTTTAATTTGAGCAGAGGAGGATTTGTTTGAATTGTAGTGGTGTTTGGCTTAGTGGTACGACTTGCCCTTTTCCTCTTTACAAAGTATCTCCCATTTTCATTTTCATTTAAAATCTTAATGCAGGAATGGTCACAAATATAATGGGGTACACCATATCTTACAAAATGGTAAGAACATTTTTTTGTTTCATTGCAGACAATACACTCGGCCTCTTTGGGTGATATTTCTACGACAGTAATTCTTCGTCGTTTAAACGCATATTTATCCTTTTCGTCTGCCATCATGCTGTACAAGCACATGAGTGAACAATAGTTTGTGTCATCACCGTCATAATTGTAGTAAAAATAGCACATTTTCTTTTCCTCACACTCTGAGCATGACAAGACTTTCGGCGATATTTCTTCGATCAAATACTTCTTATTGAGAACAGTATATTGTCCAGGATTATCAGTTTGGTAGGCTTTCAAGCAGTTTTCACAGCAAATGTAGTTGGGCTCGTTGTCTTTGGAGGTATACCTATAGGTACATGGCTTACTTTCTTTGCATTGTACACATGTGCCTTCAGCAGGGCTTATCTCTTGAATTTTATTATGGATTTCTGGCTCAACAGCTTCAGCAGCATCTTCATTTTCATTCTCTTTGTCTGGAACACGGAAAATTTTACTACAGCAATCAAATTATAATCACACGCAAATAACTTTTAACGAACAATTAATATAACCTTGTTAAATGTCAAGTTAATCGACTTCCATAACTCCGAGTTATTTTTACTTGTGACGTAACATGCTGCACCGATTGTCATAAATTCTTTTACTGTAACCAAGTTGAAAAGTACCTAATTCAATGGACCTCAAAGTTGGTCACGATGTTTTATATTTGTCCCTACCTCCCCCATTCTCGTGAGAAGCATCGTCAGTAGCTGGATCTGGCTCTGCAGGTTCCTCTGCTTCCTCATTGTTAAAAGTCTCCTCTGGTTGCAATTGATCTACTGCTTCGTTTTCTTGTTTCGGTTCCACAGCCAAAGCAGCAGCTTTATAAAAAAAATCAATATATAAAATAACTAGGAAAATATAATGTTACAAGTTACGACTAAAAGAGGGTGTATACAATGCACTAGATTAAAAAAAAATCCTGCTTCGTGGAAACTTATATTACTATAACATATTATTGCAAATGTGGCTTCCACTAAGCAAAGCATTATTGACTATTTTTGCTCTTCTCTCCGCAATCATCACTACATACGCAGTATGAAAATTAATGCGTTGTATTTTTACGCATAGCCTTATTTCAATAACGTAACTTCGTCTCTTATTATTTACTTATGTATTACAATGAAATAGGATTTTCTATATTTAATGTCTACAAGTAAAATAGGAAAGAAACTACATATTCTTTACTTCTTGTATTGATTAACAACTCACGTACGACGTGGTCTAGTGTACATTTATGTTATGTCGCCCAAGGGATACTATTATTTTTTACCAGCTTGCATTTTACATATACAGGTTGTAATCGTTAAGAGTGCCCAGGAGATTATTCCATAAATATAAGAGATATCAATAGCAATAAGCTTTAAACTGATATCGATAGTACGTTACCTAATGAGTAAATCGACATCAATAACTTTTTTGAAATAAAACTAGACATACAAAATTTTAACATTAAATGTTCCCATACATTTAATATGACATTCGCAGAGAGGCTTTAGTGGACCTACTTTAAGAAGTAACAAAAAGTTTACAGATAACAAAGCAACTATAAATAAACTAATACAATTATCTTTTAATTGAAAAAAATATAATGGCATAGTCAATTATTTGGTCAAGTGTGAGTTGTCCATAAAAATGAATAATCAAATTTATTTTAGTGCTGATCAACGCAGTTTCATGTAAGAATCATTTCATTGTATTGGACGACAAAATCGGGACAACAGAAGTTGGTCAAATTTAATGAAATGTTTTCTGTACAAAATGAATAAAATTGACTAATATTTTGTTAATGCTGATACACTCGGTTTCTTATAACAATTATTTTATTGTATTGAACAAAAAGAATCGGGACTGCAGAAGTTGGTCAAATTTGTTACTTGGTACTTGGTGCAACGGGCTGGTATCCGCAAATAAAATTGATCAAATTTAATAAAAATGTTATGCATTTTGCATGAACAAAACTTTTCACTTGACTGGATAGTCATTATATTTTTATTCCATTAAAAACACTTTTATTACTTTATTTACAGCTGTTTTGTTATCTGTAAAGATATAGTATAGTTACCTTATATTAAATGTATGGGAGCATTTAATGTTAAAATTTTGGACAATTCTAGTTACATTTTTTAAAAGTTATTGATGTCGAATTACTAATTAGGTAACGTACTTTCGATATCAGTTTAAAGCTTTTCGGTATCTCTCACATTTATGGAATAATCGCCTGAACACACTTAACAATTACACCCTGTATATCTTACAATTTAGACGACTTCAGAGCTTTACATAGCATAAAACCTAATGAGGAGGTTCTGGTTTCGATCCCCGATAGGACCAAATACTTTCCTGGTCTGAATAGTTCCCCCGGAGTTAATTTCTTTGCTCTTATATTATTTTATTGCTTTAGGGAATAACCTAGCTTGCGACTAAATAGTGTGATTAAAAAATAATGTCATGGTGTTTACACCAAATAAGTTCATTATTTTTTTATTAGCTTCGGGAATTACCTAGCTTGTGACCAAGTGGTGTGATTAAATACAATATATATGTCAATATTAACTTACGTCGAAAGTAACGACGAGCAACGCGTCAGTGAGGTTAACGTTAGTATTATGCTATATGTGAATGAGACACTATTCGTGCACAGCGATACAAACACAGCGACAGTAACACAAATTTCCAAAGTGTCTAATATTGCCGCTCGACTTTGACGTTACAAGTTGATAATATTAAAATTAATTTTATAAGTCTCATAACAACAAAATCATATGCAACCAAGCAATTATCATTACATACTTAAATATTATACATCTTGTGCTATATGCCAGAAATAGACAATGGCGGCGCACATCTAACTCAAAGCAAATTACGACTGTCGCTATATGCAAATAGTATCAGTTTACATATTATATATATTATGGAACACCAACTGTTACGCGCTTGATATACTTCTTTTGGTTCCACGACAGTCGGGCTAGCACAAGAGAGAGCGACATAAAGCGCGAGATACTGCAATTCTCGCATAGAGATACCGCGCTTTATGTTGCTTCGCGCGAGTCGCGCCCTGTCGCGCTAACCTTACTGGCATAAGTAAATATTTACTTTTTTATACATGAAAGGCAAATGGCTTCAGTCCACCTGACGTTAAATGAAATGTAGTGTCAAATGCGAAGGAAGTTTGTGCAGTGTTGATGCAATCACTGCCCTAGCTCCCTCCACCCTACCTACGTGATTAAATGCCTTCTCTACTTCATTCAAACATGTTCACCACTAGCGAATCATTATATTTAACAATGGGCTTATTAGACATATAGATAGATAGATAAACACTTTATTCACTGATATAACGCATAAAAGAAAAAACAAAACATGATTGTCATAGCAGTGCAACGGCGCTGACTCGGCATATGCCAAAGTTTCCTAAGCCGCCGTGAATATAATTACAGCTGTAGGAGTAAGTTGTGACTGTAAAGAGGTTTTAATGTTGTGTAATGTATTTAGTATTATAATATAATAATTATACACATAATAGAATAGATCAAAGCAACAACAAGATTCGATTCTAGACAGACTATGTTAAAGAAAAAAACACACTACACAGATTTTTGAAGTGAGAGCAGGTGTTGCCGGTACCGTGCTTTGAATTTGGGTTTGAATGTCTCGTTGCGTATAGGTGGTGGAATATTATTCCAGTACTTTGAGGCCGAGTATTTGAAACTACCTCGAAAAACTGCAGTTCTATGTTGTGGTACCATAAGAACACATGATCGGACAGATCGCTCTCTGTAGCGTGTATTAACACTAGATGACCACGTTAGTTTTTCATAAAGATATTCAGGTGTGCTAGTTTTAACTATATAGAATAAAAGTCCTGCATACAGGAAATTTTGACGACGCCCGATATTTAATAGATTTGCAGCGTTGAGATAAGAAGTGACGCGAATACGAGGGCGTATAAAAAAACAAAATCTGGCACATACATTTTTGACACGCTGCAGACGTTTGTGTGTTTTAGACAAAAGGCATGGACCATACGACGAGATAGAATAGTTGATCTTAGATAATATCAATGCTTCACATAGAGAAATACGTAAATCAACACCGAGAAACGGTCGAATACCCTAGATCACTTTTAACCTATAGAAGCAACTGCAAACAAGTTCGGCCACATGAGTGTCAAATTTAAGAGGATCGTCCATAATTATACCCAAATTTCGGGCCTCCCCGACCTGAGCAATCTTCTCACCATTAATTGAAAGAACTGGTGCATGTGACTGGATGTTTCTTACTTGTTTACAAGATCCGAGAATAAAAAGTTGAGATTTGATTGGATTCAAGACCAAGGCATTGTTCCTGGACCAAATAGCTAAGCGGTGTAGATCCTCATGAATGAGGCTTGTACTTTCGGCGGTTCTATCTGGATCAGAAGACAGATGTAACTGAACAACATACGCATAGAGGTGATACTTACAGTTTTTAATGCAGCCCGAGATATTCGAAGTGTAAAGTACAAATAGCAACGGCCCCAATATAGAGCCTTGCGGCACGCTCCTGTCAACAGCACTCAGATCTGACACTCGTATTCGTATTAACAAATACTTGCAACTTTATGAACTTTCTCTAACTTACAAGTTTTATCACTCAGTTGTCCTTAAGTTTAAACCAAGTGACATTAATTGCACGTGAAACGAAAAGAGCTAGAGCAAGTGGTGCAGACTGGTGTGCCCAGTCTGGGCCAATGAGCGCCGTGAACTTGTTGCCGCAGTGGGGTACGACTTGTCACTCCCTGCAATGATCAAATCAATGCTGGAAAGTGACAGGTCGTGGACGGAGGTAGTATCCTTTGCAGAAGGCTGCGAACGCGTAATGTCGCAGAAGGAAGCTGCGGAGCGGGAGAGGGAGACGACCACCCTTCTTCCAATCCGCCGCAGGAGAGCAAGGCGTCGGAGGAGGCACTATCATGCCTTCAACCCCCATAACAGGGGTTTTGGCGGTGGACGCGAGGGCGTCCGCCGCCCGTAATGTTTAGACCCCGAGGTGGCGTGCGCGGTGTTCCTGCGTGCCCCTGTAAGTGATGAGTGGGGTGGTGTCTCTCCAGCTCCACCTCAACGGGAAGGGGTCCTCTGACGAGGGCCAGCGCCGTCGGGACCGCGGAAGAGTGCGAAAGCGTTCCCGTAGTCCCGGCAAAAGGTGCAGGGACGGTACACCGTGGGGTTTTAGTCGGTAGGAGTCCGACATAATCTCTATCTCTCTATATGAGATATCCATAAGGATTTCCCCACGTAAAAAAAAACTTGGTGCACACTAGCATTTGAAATCCAACCTCCTGCATCAGTCAGCAAAATATGTTTAGAATTGTTCATTGTAACATTAGTAGCAACTTTTTGTACGTCAGTCACTTCAAAAAGCAGTTTACCACTTTATTGAAGACAACTGAATTCCAAAATTGAAAATGAATTTGTGAGTGAAGATAGTGTTTCTCGACGTGTTTGCCTAAAGACAGGCCATAACCAGGAAAACCCTACGCGAAGTCGTTCAGACCAATCAGGCTCACATCGTTCTTCTTGAAGACGTTAGAAAGGTTATGTGACAGAGAACTGAGGGATAGAGCGCTTAGGAACATACCAGTACATGGAAACCAACATGCATACAGCCAAGGCAAATCCACTGAATCGGTCTTATATGCCGTTGTGGGCAAGATAGAAGTGGCCCTCAAAGACAAAGCAATCTGCCTAGGCACCTTTATAGATACTGAAGGAGCCTTCGATAAAACCAATTTCTCCAGCATACAATCAGCACTGGGAAGACACGAAGTAGATGAAGTGATAATTAGCTGGATTAGCAACATGCTGAAACAAAGAACAATAAAAACAACAGCAAATGAGACCCCAAGGGCCGTACTACCCTCAAGGAGGGGTACTGTCGCCTCTGCTGTGGAACATGGTCGTAAATGACCTCATCATTAAACTAAACAAAGAACATTTTATACAGTAGGATATGCTGATGACATAGCTATACTGGTAACAGGAAATTACGCCAATACACTCTGCGACATTACACAAGCTGCTCTCAGAATTGTGGAAAGATGGTGCAGAGCATACGAACTATCGGTAAACCCAACAAAGACGGAACTAGTAATGTTTACAAACAAACGACTACTAGGTAACTACCGACTACCCAAACTCTTCAGTACAGAACTACAGATATCAACCGAAGTCAAGTACTTGGGAGTAATACTGGACAACAAGTTGAGCTGGAACAAGCATCTGGACAACAAAATTAAAAAAGCTACTATCACCTTCTGGCAGTGCCATAGAATGGTAGGTAAACAGTGGGGACTTTTACCCAAGATAACACTATGGCTCTACACAGCGGTGATAAGACCCATGATCAGTTACGGCGCGATAGTATGGTGGTCACGAACCAAACTGACGACCGCAACCGACAAGCTGGACAAATTCCAAAAACTCGCTTGCATGGCGACTACCGGCTGCATGAGGACAACTCCAACTGCGGCCCTCGAAGCAATGCTGGAGCAGCGACCCCTCCCACCGTTCATCAGACAGGAAGCGGCGACAACAGCAGGGCGTCTAAACAGAGCCGGCCTTTGGAAGCACATGAGGACCCCACATACAGAAATCCTTTATAGGACTGTCAATGAGGAACCGCTGCTGGAGGCGGCTGTGGATAGGATCCCAAAACAATACATCTTTAACAAAAAATACAAGATACAATTGTTTGAAGATCCCAACGAAGGACTGAACCCTAGAGAGGTCCGAGTCTTCACTGAAGGATCTAAAACAAATTTCAAGAACAGGTACTGGGATATTCTCAGACGACCTCAATATCAGGATATCGACACCGCTTGGTGACCACAACACAGTATTCCAGGCCGAATGCAGGGGCATCAGGTTGGCGGCAGAAGCAATCATAGCGAGAAGAGTAAAGAATTACTCCATTCGAATACTCTCTGACAATATGTCAGTACTTCAAGCACTGAACAGCTATGACATAAACTCAGGGCTCATTTAGGAATGCCATCTAGCACTCATGGAGGTATATACATACCTCCATGAGTGCTAGATGGCTATTTGTATACACAAAACCATGTAACTCTACAGTGGATTAAAGGACACAGCGGCTCACGTGGCAATGACGCAGCAGATAAAATAGCCAGAAAAGAGTCGGAGATGGACGCTGTAGGACTAGAACCCATAGTGTTCCTCCCATATCAATGATCCAGAACAACTATACACAAAGGTACAAAATCTTCACATAATAATACATGGACCACCCTTACGATTTGTAGACAGGAAAGGGAAGCACTCCCAACGCTCAATGCCAGTCTATCTCGAATAATAATTAAACTTAAAAGGCAAGAGCTTCGCACTCTAACTGCCGCACTAACGGGTCATGGTCCATACAATAAACACCTTTTCAATTTAGGTATCATAGACAGCCCTCTATGCAGAGCGTGCACGGAGAGGGAGGAAACGGCTGCGCCTATCCTACTACAGTTCTCCGGCGTGGCCGTACAGGGCGATGTACCTTGGAGTGCCAAGGTCGCTCACCGAAATCTTCAGCAAACCGAGTAGGCTGCCGAGATTCCTGGAGGAGCTTGGGTGGCACGAGTAGGACCCTGCACACACCACACGCAAAATAAGCGCCTTGACGTCGAGTTGCGGATACCAGCCCAATTTGGTACACCAAGTACCAAAGACAGGCCATAAAAATATTCAGAAAATCTACTTGTGTATATCGCATTGTCCATATGATTTTTAAGTACAGATAGGTAGCTCTATATATAGCCTATTAGGTATAAACACTACACACATTTCCATTTATTGCATAACTTGACACTTATAGTATAGATTTTCCTCCATGGAGACAAGATTAGTTTTAACATTTTAGCCATAAATATTTTATAACATTCACAGGGCACGCTCCCAGTCACTACCAAATTCGCAATGTATATAATACACTAAAAATCAATACAATAAAGCAATAACAATCGCATCGCAACAAAATTAAATAACCGAAATTACCTCAATCAATTAGCGGCGCATTGGAGAATCTTAAGTTTTAAGTATCAACCATTTTTTTAATTATATTTTATGTAGAGAAAAGGTTATTTCCTTTTGTAAGTTACAGTAATCAAAAGAGTTTGGTCAGGAATTAAAAGTAAACAGATCCTTTTGTGCCTTAATACCTTTAAAAGCTGATCCACCCAAGTTGAGACAAATTAAAAGAAAATTTTAAAATAATTGTCTGTAATCAAAGTGCAAAATTGCCCACCAATTTTGCACTTTGATTAATTCACGTAAATACTCAAACATATCTACCATTAATCATTTGAGTAAATAACCAAACTATTTGGGATTTATTAAATAATTACCACATTTTTCACTGTCTTTTAGGGAAGAAACGAAAGAAATAGTATTTTTTCCCTTGTCAACCATCATTATTTATTTTTGATTTTGAACGTTTTTACTCCCAACTGATAAAACAAAAGTAAACACGTTATTTTTCACCCTTGACATTAATGCACATGTAGAATTCAGATAGATAAAATCTAACTTCAGTCTTTGTTAAAAATACACTGCTTTTTACACAAAATAATTTGTAAAGTTGTTCAGTTGTTGTTTTAGACTTATGTTTAACGATGAAGTGACATGAATGTGTTTAAAAAAAAAAGAACAATTACCTTCGGCTTGTTTTCTTTTTTCGGCCAGAACCTTCTCCGCTTCAGCTTTGTCGGCTTCGGAGATTTCTCTCTCTGTGTCGGGAAGGAGGCATACTTCTTCGTCTGCACCCTCTACCAGCTCAGCCACACCAGTGTCCTCTTCTACATATCATTAATAAATAAATCATAGGCTTCAAGTTGAATTAAAACTAGGTAATATTCTAAGATAAAACATTACTAAAACCTGATTGATATAAGGCAAAGACTCAATCACGTGTAAGCCACTAAATCTGCCTATGAAAGCTGAAAACTTCTTCCATAAAGATAATTTTTACATTTTATTTCGTCTGTTTTGAGTTGCAATACCTATATGAATCACAATAAAGGTTGTGGTAAACATTTACTAGGTTACACAGAACCACTTCTGAATAGTGAACACTTGTGTGGTTGACAGTCTCTTTCTCTTGCTACGATGGTTTTAGGAAATAACATTCATCGTTGGTTCAAGTCTCTTAATTTTAAGCACCTGAAGTACCTACATTATTACTATTTAAGCGTATTGTTAACTTTACAACTTGGACAAAAACAATGCAATTCTTTTAGTTTTTTACAAGCATTGTTTCTAAGACATTTATAATTTTTTTAGATAGTTACTTTATAAAAAAAAAACAGAATGACCCAACAATAAATTATATTCTATCTGTTCCAAAACCTAGCAAATGCCTATAACAGTTTCGTTTACTAGTGAGTAAAATAGTGCAACACAAGTTAATTTGTTAATTAACTTAGTAAATAAATTTTAGTCAGTCCTTGATAAAAAAATAGTTTTAGAATTTTAATTCTCAAAAATTATACTATTCTTAATACAACAATTTTTTTTGTATAAAATGAGTCTGCATGGTTTCGGTTCATTTCACCAAAATAATAAGAACAATTAGGGCGCGTGTCCACGCTAAGAAAAGTCGCCGGGTTTATGCAAGTATTCGTGTCGTTTATACATATGAACTGTGCATTGTACACTGCCTCGGCGCCGGACAAGAAAAGTCTTGTGTACCCCCAGCACGACACGCTCTGCTGCTATTGTATGGGGTGGAGTGAGGTGCATTGTCAGTAAACGATCGTTTATGCGCGTGGACGGGTATTGCTTGGTAGTCAACATATACAACAACATATTTCTTCCCACAGTCGGTAGTAAAATGACAGCTACCTGGAAGACTCGTAATGCAGACTCAGTTTACCCTACACATGTCTGTCTCAAAGCATTCGTGTCGTGCACATACTCGTCATTAACTCGTCTGCAACACACACGACATGTTTTCGTGGCTACATCCGACAAACTTCTTGTCGTGTACAAGACCATTCTCATCTTTTCTGTAGCAGACACATCGAATTTCTTAGTGTGTACACGCGCTATTAGTTTATTATTTTAGTCAGTGAAAGACGAACCTTGATGGTGATCCTCCTCATCATGCGCGTCAGCTTCGACAGGATCAGCGTCTGCATGATGGTCATCATCGTCATCGTCAGCATTCGCACCTACGTTCACTGACGATGTAGACGTGTCTGGCACCGGGTCACTGCGATCTTTTAGCAGTGCATCGAATGGGTCCAATGCCTTTGAACAAAATACACATTTTATAAGAACTGTTCAATATCTTTAATAATGTTTCATATCGTCGCTTTAGAATGAAAACCTCGCATACGCGTTTTTACACAGTTTATCTTCACTGATTTTTTCTTTTTGTTGCAGAAAACTTCTTGCTCAAATGTATTATAAAGTAATATAGTATCTGAATGAGGCATAAATTTAACTAGTTAAAATGTTAACTACAAACATTATTGCGTTTACTACATTTTATATCACATTTTTATCTTCCTCCTGAAAAATCACATAGAAATCACATATGGGGTTTAAACTCTAAAATGACAATATACACTTGACCTTTTTCTTCATCTATACAGAGACGCTAAAAGTACTACTTGATGAACATAATAAAGTATGTTGAATTCACCTGAGTATGATCCTCTTGAGATTCATCTAATGACACATTAGGAGCAGTCTCAAATTCAGGTCTGCCAACTTCATCCTCTTTCTTGTCATCTGCAATTTTCAGCAGATCTTCAGATTGTTTAATGCCATCTTGTTGATTGATTTCCTCTTGGTCAGTTTTATCCTGAGTGTCTGTTTCTTCACTAGCTTCTTCTTTTGTTGTTATATTCTCATCAACGGATTGGACTAACTCATTTTCTTTTGTGCTCTCTTGAGCATCTTTACTTGGCTCTTTAATATCTATACTTCGCTCCTGTTCTTTGGAAAGACCGACTTCATTTTGTTCAGCGGTATTTTCTTCAGTGCTCTCTAAAGTTAAAGCTTCATTTTCTTGTGACGCCTTTGATTCTTTTGCTTCACTTTGGGTTTCTGCAAGAGAAATTAAACAATGGTTGAATAACATATTATGTCTTTATTAAGGTCTCCACCGTTAAAGGCATATATGCATTATTGTATATTACAAGAGCTTTGGCAATGACAATTTATATGATATATGATAATTTATTTAGATTATTTTAGAAATAAAATTATAAATAATCTCTATAATCCAAGATATTCTTCCAGAGATGGAACTTGTCACATCACAGACCTTATTAAAGATGAAAATGATATTTGCGATAGTGAACATGGATTCGCAACATTACATAGTATATAATCATATAGTAAAAATGTTTTTTTTTTACTTCATTAGACTCCAATGAAAATAAATGATGCTGTTTAACAACCTATTCAAAAGCTTTCAAAACTGAGAAGGCTAGAGGTTATTTGTCCAGTAAGACAAATAACTAAATGATTCAGTGTCACAGATAACCTTCAGTGCAAACTATGCAAACAGCTGCCCATCCTTGTGCTACTGCAAGTCTCCAACCCAACAGCCTTTTGATTACTTCTTATTGGCATTTTTTACTGGCACTAATGTCATGTTGTGACTCAACCAACAATAGTACATAAAAACTACTACATCATTTAAATATATCTATGAAAGGGTAACTTACTTAAATCTATTTTGTACAATTATTTTGATAATCTTCTTTCCTATGTAAAACACGTCTCAATCAAGACTTTCCTTTTAACCAAGTTCTATCATAGTTTGAAATATACTTGAAAAATTGTAGATATTAAACTTGTAATTAATTGTCTACTTCAGTATGCAACTACAGTGTTATACACTTAATGCAATACTTAATTGCTTAAGAGTATACATTTTAAAGTTTTGATAAGAATAGTACTTAATTCCAATGCAAGTTCACTAAACATCCAGAGTTAATTAATAATTAGATTAGTTGTCGACAAAAAACTAACTCGTGCTTATTAATGCACATAGCTTTCCTATTATATACAAATAAACAGTTTACTGCTTTTAATATTTAAAATAATAAATAAACACTGTACAGAATAAACAAACACAATCTTTACTTGCTGCCACAGTTTATGGTTGTCTAATCAAAGATCTCCCACTAGTAGTCTCGAGGGATTAGTGAATATAATTTTAAAAACACAATCGTTACTTACAAGACAAAGACTTACCAATTTTCATTTCATCTGGGTGGTCATCTGCATTTTTTGCACTAGACATTGGCTCATCAACACTCATATCATGGTCAACCTCCTTTGCAGTAGATAAAGGCATATCAGCGCTCACTTTATGGTCAACGTGATTTCGCAGTTCAGATTCTGTCTCTAACTGTGTGGCATTTATTTCAAGTTCATTATCAAAATTTACATTGGGAGCACCACCAGCTACCATTTCTTGTACAGATTCAATTGATGGTTTTTCACTGTCAGCAGTGTCTCCTTTATCAGAAACTGGCGTGTTAGGCGCCTCAGGTATACTCTCCTTCTCGTCCATAACTCCAATCTTATTGGAAGTCACTTACAAAGTGAAACACATCTGAGAATAGAACGTAATATTGTGTTCAACTAATAAGCGTATGGTAGTCACCGCACCCGGCTTCATACTTTAGAGGTTATGATGCAGCAGGGATACCATGAACTATTAATCATTATCAAGCATACGTGTCTGAACACGTCACGGTATTGTGAGTAAACAATCTACATCTAGCTATTCAAACAGCGCCTTTAGTTATAAAGAAAGAATCCCTTGAAGAGGACGCCAACTGGAGCAGTCAAACTACATATCCCGCGCTTATTCGTCATAGGCACATATATCGCACAGCACCAGTAGCAGCAGAATAACATTTCAATTGCAAAGAAAATGGTTTGAAATTCTACGACACCTATCAATTTGATAAGTAGCACTGAAGAACTGCTATAATACCGCTTCGAACAAAGATGTACGGGCGAGCTTCTTTATGGAAAATCTATTGAGAGAAAGAACAAAAAGATGTCAAATACTACGTCGTAATATGAAAATTTTCTATAGTCTCAAATAAAGATTTTTTTTACGTACATTTTTCAACATAATTCGGCAAATTTACTCCTATAACAGAAATAGTTTCACAAATCACTCAATAAAGCACAACAAACGACCACCATTTTGGAATCAACCAGCCTTCAGCTAAATTGCGGGCGCGGATGTGTTATGTCTTTGCCAACAGTACTTATAATCTGTTAAACTTGATTAAGGGTTTCAGAAATTAGCACATACTGCTAATAAATTAAAAGTAACATTTTTTAACAATTATAATAAACATAATTTACTCATTTATAGATTCTACATTAAGAAGTAATGCAAACGTAATTGTGTTTTTATTATTTTGTTGGTATGACATGACGCTTCAGTCGCTTCACCTTTCGTAGCGTAGTGTTGTGTCGATCGAAGGTCATATCGATTTTATTTATTTTATTTAAGGGCTCTATTGTTGTTCACCATTCACCGTCCCTGTCTTCTTTTATTGTTATTAAGTACAGTCGAAAGGGTTTAACATTGTCGTGTTAAAACAAGCAATTCGTAGTGGTAAACAAGATTGTATTACGCATAAGCTCAAGGAATCGAAATTATATATTTATATATATTTCATTATAATCAAAAATTAAGATAACATGCCGCGAAACTTTCTGCTTGGAATTTATCTGTAGACCATATTTTTTTACTATTTATTAGTGTATAAATTTTATGCTGTTACTACTACGTGACCTTTAACATTCTTATATAACTTATCCTCCACTTCAAATGAAAAAATAAAAGCAATAAAATCAACTGAAGTATTTTCTGATGTTAAATAATACGCTGCTATAAATAAATTTAACATTATTAAGTTTTTGGATTTATATTTGTCTGACGTGTCTTGTCGTGACGCGTCAGAACAGAACGGTATCGGTTTCATACACTCAACACAAGCCGTCACGTCAGATTGCGACAGACTAATATAGATCTAACCGTATTAAATATATGAATCCGATAAGGATCCGGCGCGTCACGACACGTACGTCAAACTTCATGTACAGTGGTCAATGCGATCAGCGAATTCGAGAATCGATGTTAAAATATATAGACTGAAAAATGATACTTACGCTTTAATCAGTTAAAACCATTGACTTACAATTATATGGACGTTGGGTCCGCGCTAAAAAGTGTCCGAACTTATAGGGCGTTAAAATCGTATACAGAGCGTCATTCACGCTTTAGTCTTCGTTTGTTTGACTGACAGCCAAGCAAGCAAAATTAGACAGAACTGCGATGACATTACAATTTAAAAGCTTTTTCAAATTCCTTTACATGTCACTACGTTTAAATAGGTTGACTTGGGACATTTTTTTCGTGGTTTTTGTATTAGAACCGTCGTCCATTTATTTATAAGTCAATGGTTAAAACAGTTAATTTGTTACATCATTGCTATAAATGAAAAAAACTCAATAATTTTATAAATGAATACGGTCCGTCCAATGCGATATAATCGAATAGGCGTGACACCACTATTTATTAATTTTAACCGAGCATACAGGTAAAAGTACACACTGGATAAAAATTCACCAAAAAATACGCACCGAAAGTAAAACATAGTAGCTCAAACACACGATAACTTATAATAATTAATTAGATAACATTTTTAAAATTACCGCCAAACTAGTTTCCATCTATAAGGATTAATCGAATATACAGAATATTCGGCGTGTCACATCACAAACTTTTTTCGTCCGACGTAACTCATCATGACATTGTGAAATTAAAAAAGTTAAATAAAATAAAAAAAATAATTACTTTTCTAGTTACTTTATTAAGATATTATATTAGTGTGAATCAACTTGAAAATAAATTTATCAATAAATAGTATATTTCAATGATTGTATATGTATATGCGGTAACGTAAATATGTAAAATATTTATTGTTTTGACGTGTTTAAAAAAATGTAATTTGTAGGACGCTGCTTCAAAACTACGTCGTATTAATTTTGTCGCCTTGTTATTGTTAATATTTTTTTTATTAATAATTTTGGTTTGGATACAAGTCTTTTGAGCCATGTCTTTGTTTAATTATGTTTCTGTAAATACGGCCGCCACAAAGAGGATAGGCAATTTGAGGCGGCGTGCTTGGATTGACTCGGCATTCCTTAGAACGGGCCGATACGGGTATTTTAGTTTTAGATTCGTATAATTTCGCGTTTTAATCTTCGATTAAGGCACAATAGCACTATCCTATTCCATTTTAAACTAGATTTCACAAAATAATTGAAAGTCAAAATAAAAACGACACTTTTCCCTCCCAAAGGCCCACAGCGAATCGCCCTGTTAATATTATTTCATTTAAAGCTAATGGTGTGTTTACACAATGTCGACTCGAATCGAAACGTCGAAACATCGAGTCGACTGCCGCCGTCATGAATAACTCGCAAGGATACAACAAATGGTTAGAAACTCGTAATGAACTGATTGAGTAGGTAGGTAGGTATTCCCTGGCCCAAGCACGCGCATCGTGGTAGGATACCGCCGCTGACACGTAGTAGAATGAAAATTGTTTGGTCGAATGTCGTTTGCCGAAAGTGCCGAGTCGCTCTAACAGTGACTACTGATTACACATAGCGGACTCGGTCGACTTGGGACGACTAATGTTCACTTGCAGTAAATTTGAGTATGTTGTACACCAATGCATGCAATGCAAAAGTAGCTTTTAGTACATTGTGCTAAAATATGTCTTATCAATTTAAGCATTGGTTTAAGACGTATTTAAATTTAGTGCAAGTGGACATAAGTCATTCAGTGATTACACTGAGTTAGCTGCTGCCTTCGGCTATGTCTTTCTTGCTTGTTTGCAAAGAAAACAAAAATAAAAATGGAACGAGGAATAGGGGAGGTAGAGTCATCATCTTTAAGGACCGTATTCTAGAACTCTACTCAATGCTCAAGTCAGGATCTGAGTATGGGTCGTATTTCCAGTGCTTGAAATCATACTCAAATCTCATTGACTTACAAATAAAAATCTGCTCAAATCCTGACTTGAGCATTGTGTTAAGTTCTGGAATACGACCCTATGATTCTAATTCTCCTATTATCTTTCAAAAGTTCCTGGCAAACTTCGGAATCGATATCTATATAGGTACTAAGTCTTTGTTCTTGTAATTTAACTGTACACTTTAGCCGACATATCTAATCTCATAATAGGCATTCGAGAATGGAATTGAGCATATTACTTTTGTTTTGGAAATCAATAAAATTATTGGCAATACAGTATTAACAAATATGATGATGTACTTCTTATATCGTAAACTTACGCTCAATAAAAAATAAAATCTTTCAAAACTTATTTAAAATTCAAAGCTTACCAGAAAGTTTACAAATCATGTTGTTATTCATTTGTTTTCGTTGTCAACTTGTCGACATTGAAACGAACGTATTTTTTGAGTTTAGGTGTATCACACATCAAATTCGGCGTAACTGCGATCGTCCGCCTGTGCAGTTACAAGTGTAAGTGCCGTTTGGTGATAGGCGTGTTAGTAATAACTTTTTATTAACCGACTTCCAAAAAGGAAGAGGTTCTCAATTCGACACATTATTTTCATTCATTCGGTATGGGTATAGTTTAACAAGTTCTTAAGCTTTTTACGCTGCTGTGATGAGGGCAGGTTTGTTATAAACAAACCGTAATATTATAGATAAAACTTAACGATGAGGAAAAAAGAGGAAAAGAAAACGACATTTTCATTGTCTCGGTGTCCATTCACAATCACAAAGCTATAATATAAGAAAAGCAAGTTTTTTCAAATACATAGTCATAGTAGTATGTGACTTTAAAAAAAATAAAAACAAAAATAGATATAAATTACATAACAATGTCAAAAAACCAACAAAGTAGGTTGTACGGATTATCTGGTTGGTTTGTTTCAAGTATAAAGTAAGTACTATTTTATTTATTAAAAGAGCGTTTGTTAATTCTTTTTAAATTTATATTCTTATAAACGACACGACGAAGTTTCGAACATAATTAGGGGTCTGTTCCTACTACTTCGGTTGTGCAGCTCAGTTAACTGAACTAATGAGATTTTTTTCTCGTTTGTTCAGTTGAAAATAAAACAAGACTTCACCCCTGGTTTAGTAGATATTTTTTATTTCCTCTATTCCCACTAGTTCAGTTGTCCATCCTCTCTCTACAGTAGTTATGTTGTTCAGTCCAGTTAGTTGATTGTACTATAAACAATTTCCACCTTGTTCGCACAGTTGAAAATAAAACAAGCATTTTTTTGCTGGACCCGGTCTCAATTTTCAAATTTATCTTTTTGTTAAGTTTTACCCAATATAAAGGTCACTGGGTATAATAGACGATTGATGTAACAACTTTCAAACTAATATATTCTATGGCATAATGTTCATTTTGTATAAACACTTCAGACATAACATTCACTGTGTATAATATATTATAAATATCATTCCGGTGGTGCTTAGGTGCAGTGGTGAATAAACCGAAGTTGTTTGCATTTGCTTGTTGGTTCGACCTCCTCTTCTGGGTTTAGGTTAGGGTAGTATATGACAAAGCTACACGTGCCGAGAGAGCGCAGCAACCGTAGCGCGGCAGCGGCCGGCGAGTGCCACAACCGAATTTGTTTGCATTTGATGTTGGTTCGACCTCCTCCTGTGCAATTAAATACTCTGCTTAAAGTTTTAATTAATATATTTTATTACACAAAAAGCACTTAAAACTATACAAAAACAATTATATTTTGCCATTGTACATTTGTTGAAGTAAACAACTTTTTGTCAACATAATATAAGGTGCTTCAACTATGCCTTTTGTTGTTGTACCTTTTGTTGATTATACATATACATATAGAGTAAGTGATTATATCCTTATCAATTATATCTAATATTGATTATACACAGGGGAAATAGATTATTTGTTGTTACTTCTTCCATTATACACCCGTTTACTTTCTTATTGTCAACCACAATTTTTTGCACATGGAGAAAAGTTTGTTTTTTATTTGCAGTTTTTGTTTTGGACTACACTACATGTTTACAGATTGCACCGGAAAAACTGTTCTCTTTTCCAACATGTCAACATTTTGAAAGAAAATATAAGTTAATATCACAGTTCATTCGTCAATAATAAAAATAAACAAAAATGATTCGATAATTATATTCTTTTGTTAAGATTTTGTTTCGGCTGATACAAATTCAGGTCTTTTACCCTACTGTCAAACTTACGACAATGGCGGAATCGTTAGATGGAAAATTATTTTCCTAACTGTATTAGTAAAGGAAGTGTTGCACTTTTATCCTATAAAATACACCATATTTTATGTTCGAACGTACTACCACCCAATTCTTGTTTAAATTTTCTGATTTACTATATCCTGCTGAATACGCGAAGTAGTATAGAATAGCCCTCACAGAACACTATACTGATAGCCCCTGCAACAGTATTGACTGTGACTATTCATTCTCCATTCCATTACGCCTAGAATGCCACGGCAAGTTGACACAAACGAACGAGGCGGACAAAAGCTCACGAGCGCTCACGAGTATGCGAACGAATGGAGTCTGTATAACCAACATTGTATGTCAAAAAAGATCCGCGAACGCGTTGTTCTCGGTATGTGTCATCCTTCGGCATCGGCACCACTTCAATGAAATATTAACCACACAAATTTAAAGGCGCAAATACTCAATTTGCTCTCTCGCTCACTCTTACGTAGTAAAGTACAGACATTGTCGAATAGATAAAAAGATTATTACAGATTCGAAAATATTACTGAAATAAGTGTCATTATACCTACTTACGTGAGGCAAGAAAATTGAAAAAATTAGTTTTTTATTTACATTTATTTTCAAAATCTCGTGACTTGTAATAATTATAGCAGGGGTAATTTGTTAAAGAAATTAAGAGCCAATCTTTCTTTTATAATCAGGTGGCTAGCAACGCTATTATTGAAAAAGAGAAGCTGGAAAGAAAAGAGTCTACCAGACCCAGAGGTTGTTGATCGCCATTACGAGTAGCGCTATTAGATTATCAATTACGGAATAGTGTGCAACTGTGTAGTTACCTTCTGAGTCCATTTATCGAGAGGTTCGTTCTAATTTTATTTATAAAAAGAATGTAATTTTGTTTCAACTTTGGCGGGAGCGTTCTGGCACATTGTTTTACTAGCTTTGAAATTGAATGGCGATCTGTCATCTGGCGCCTTTTGGCCTCAACGTCAACGCCTGTACGGCCTGTACCGCCAGTACTTTACCTTCATGTTTCAACGACATAATAAGTATTAAATTAGCAGTGCGGCAGTGAAATTTCCTGGTGTGGTGTGCGATCGATGTGGACATTCGACAATGCGTCGGCATTAGGCGTGTCGGATATGGATAGGCGAGACTGCCCGAGTTACGAAGCCGTGTTTGACGCATGCGATCCGTTAGGGTCTGTCTTGGAGTGCTCAGGGCGCGGGCCGGCACGCGTGCTCCGGCGACGGTGCCGAAGCGAAGGCGTAGATCGCTCGCCGTACGAGGATGTGCCGATGCACCGATCCGCAGACGCTATATCTCGCCAGCATAGAGCACTTACTAACAAGAGCCATTTCACCCTAAATAACGCTATCGAAGCCCATTTCGATAGATTCCAACGCGAGTGTTTTCCTGCTGCAGAAAACGGCGACTACATAATGGCTCATGACCAGAAGCGACGTGGGTGAGTAGTCTTTATCTTGTTACCTTATTCAGGGACAGCGTGTAAAGTAGGTATGCTGGGTTAGTACTGACATAAGTAATCAGGATCAAATTTAATGTCTGTTACTTAATATGATAAAAAGTTAGCACTGCTCTATTTATTTATTTAATAATTAGTAATTGACATAACCTCTGTAATAGCCACATGTTTAGGTTGTGGTCAAATATTCACTGTAATATATTGTCAATTGTATCTCTTAAATTTAATATTTGTAATAATAACTAGAAATCAACATTCTAAGTGTTTTTTTTGTACTAAGGTAATGGTATTTTTTGTGCAGATCTCAGCCCAATAGAATAAAAATTAATAGAACAAGCCCCAATAGACCCTTATTAGTAACAACATTATCTAACACAAAAGTTGAAGAACATAGATTGCCAAAAGTTGAAGAATTGTTTGAGAAAGTTGATCATGACATGATAGAGGTGCCAAAGCAGCCTTTAAAATCAATACTCAATAACCCTTTACCCAAGACACCACAGCAAGGCATACTTAAAAAACCGAAGCACAGACCCCATCCAGATACAGGGGCTGTTCATAGAGAACCTAAATTGATGAGTCCAGAAAGTCGCAGGCGACAAAGAGCCTGTAGTGAATCTGATAATTTGTACAGTAACTTCCATTTTGCGGTAATAGGGGCTGATAAGTAAGTATTGCTTTTAGTGTTTATTGCAGTATAAATTATGTTGTGAATTTATTTGAGTGTTTTTAGTGTAAGCCTTTACATTTTACACATTTCATTATAATTAGTTGAATCATGCATAATAATACATCACAAGTATAAAGCAAAATGCCATTACACATATCTGCCGTCGAGTAACTAAAATGTGGTTAAGTGACAAATGGTGAAATATTTGTTTTAAATAGCAAAAGATAGGGCACAAAATACTATTTTAAAAATAGTTAAAATTAGTGATCACATTCGACTTATTCGAACTTACCCTAATGATGTTCAGGTGAAATATCATTAAACAATTTCAATATTCTAAGGTCATATTCTAGAACAATACTCAATGCTCAAGTCAGGACTTGAGTATGATTCAAAGCACTAGAAATCATACTCAAGTCCTTGCCATTAGGGTCGTATTTCCAGTGCTTGAAATCATACTCAAGTCTGCTCAAATCCTGACTTAAGCATTGAGGAGAGTTCTGGAATACGACCCTAAAACTGGGTTAAGGTTTTTTATGATATCTCAAAAAATTATTTTGTCGCTTAGCCGCGTTTTGGTTAATGGACAGCAGATCTGACACTGCTTTTTTGCATTTCGATACCTTCAATGAACACTAAGCCAACTTAATTTTTGGATCTGCTCTGTTTTTATTTTGTTTTTTGTTTCTTTTTTTTTACAAAATTAGTTTTTTTTTGTTCTTGTTTCTTTTTTTCACAAAATTCGGGGAGCACAATTAAGATTTGTTTATATTAAGCAGCCATACTTACTAAGGCAAATAAATATGGCTGTTTACAAAAATAACAGAAGATGACCAAAAAATAAAGATGGCGTGGTGTTCATTGGAGGTATCGATTTTACTGTTGGTTCATATCCAACAGTAAAAACAATACCCTATATAGATAAGATACCTTGCATATATGGGCCAATAAAATTTGGTATGATAATATTTTTCTTGGATTTTACAATATTTGTAAAAAGTGTTATCACAACAATTCATAATTTCACCAGCTTAGTAGTCTAAGATTGAACATCAATCAAAACTATAAATAATATTCATTAGCAATGAAATGATAAATTGATTTTATCTTATCTGCAATCAATAATACTTTTGTCCTCTCTTTTCATATACAGTACCATTTATATATAGTTAGCGAATAGTTTAGACCGTTTTTGATATTAATATCTTTTAATTGGGCAAAGTTTTTCACCATTAAGTTGGAAGTCATCATCAATTAATAGGTAAACAAAGAGCAAAAAAAATGGTGTTTAAAACATTGAAAAAATATTTTTACAGGGCTATGAACAAAAATATGAAGAGAGCTAAAGACAATTCTGGCATTGGTTATTCATATGGTACTGCCTTAGCCACTCTTGCTAATCAAAAGATAAATTCTGCCAACAATTATAAGCTTCAGAAATCAAAAGAGCACCCAGCTTTGTCCCAACCAATGACTGTGCAACCCAAAGAAGAGCTGCACAACTCAGAGCCACTAATGAAGAATGCAGTAATAAATAATGATTCTTTCGATGATGAAGTGATTTTGGGCGTGGTGAGTATCTGTCCAATTATATCTGTGTTTTTTTTTTCATATCTATAATGAAGGATTAAAATTGATCACACTTGGTCATAGGTAATCAATATTATTATCATAATTCCTTTTCAAATGTTGATTGAAATTGATAAGAAATGGCACTATGATTTTACTGGCAATGTTTACTGCATTTTTTTTACACAGGGCTTATTAAATTTACTCAGTAATACTTCAGTGTTTTCTTATGCAAATTTAAAGTATTTTTAAGTAGTTCCAAAGTTTTGATAGTTTGAGCACTAGCAGTATGACATGAAATATGACTGAATCTTTTTGTGGCATAATTGTAATAATTTTTATGGAAAGACATCTTAATGTTATAGTAGACTAGATAAGTAAGGAGACCTATTATTAGTTTTTGAATTCAATGATTAGTTATTGGCTAACAGCCCATCCAGTTGTGAACATTAGAATTGTATTCCAGTTGTGAGCACATTATCTTTATTCGTCTTTATTAAACAGTATTATTTTTCTTGACATTTTCTTAAACAATGTTTAGTGTTCACGCAGTTAGCTTCTTTGGCGGATGTGACGGTATATTTTTAAAGATATTTTAGATTTTAGAAGGAGTGACGACAGATGTTTTTATCGCGTGACGCGAACAATAGCTATTTAAGAATTGTGCAAGAGGTGACCATGGAAGTATATGTGTCACCACACTCCTCTATCTATAGTATTCAAATGTTTATACTTTATGCGTATAACATTTTCGCTTCCAAAAAGTGCGTATGAGTACTGCTTTTTAAACGATCTGTTGATGAGTAAGTTGTTTATTTTCTAAGTAAACAATAAAATTTTATAAAATTAAGAAAATTTAATTAGACTATATTTTGTGTTTTTATATTTTCCCATTATATGAATTAAATTTAATCAGTTGTGTTTACAGTAAAAAAATCATAAAAAAATTATGAGACTGCATCGTTGGTTACTTTTAGCATAACGTGGTTCTATTGTCTTATCCGATGCTCATTTAACTGTGGCACCAATTCACAAGACCGGGCTTAATGCCAATCGTACGAAATGTCAATACGATGCATTATAACTGTTACTGCGTTAGGATACTATAACCGGCAGTTCTTCATTACGTCTGTTAAAAGTCACTTCAAGAAGTTGCGTCAGTCTTTCATCACGGAGACAGGTGTATAGTGTCAAAAAAACTGACCTCAGTCAGCCTTGACATAATTTCTAAGTTTGTAATCACTTTTTGTGTGCACGTGTGTTCAGAAAGCAAGGAAATTAAAATATCTTTTAAACAATAACGAACGACGAACTCTTTGTCGCAATTGTTCCATGTAGTTGCCGATCGGCGTTAGTTTAGACGTGTTGATTTGGCATTCTACTTAATAATTTGAGGTTCATATAATCATTCATTTATAACTAAATTCGAGTGCATTTATTGCTATATAAGACACTTTTATACATAATGCATATTTCTATGCACTAACAAGTTATAAGCTAAACGTAATGTCAGAATGTACTTCTGAGTGGTTATTGAAAAAAATAATTTCATATATGTACATTAAAAAAAGATGTTAGTTGGTAATCGTTGTCTGTGATAGTAACAGTAGATTGTATACGCATTTTAAATGAAAAATACAATGTACTCCACATAACGGACAGACGTATCCTTATACCATTTATATAGGATTATATGCAGTTGATTCGCAACGGATATTGCTCGTTCATGTGGTATAAGTTAAGGAATCGGAATCGGAAGGAATAGGGTTAGATCAATATTAAACATAAAGTAATTTGCTATAATTTGAGTAACGTACGAAGCTGGTTGTAGATCTTGTATAATATGAGTAATCAATTCGTTGTCGTATATATATAAACTATAATTATGCATGTATAGTTATCTAATTACGCACAGCGAAATTTAAATTTTATGCAGAAAGTATCCATTAGTTTATTTTAGTTAAATTCCTTTCTACATATGCGAGTGTTTAATGGTTAAATAATTATGAACTTTAACACCGGGCATGTATGATATACTATATAATATTTTAATTCACGTGGTTAAACGTCAAATAAAAGAAATGTGGTGTTTACAGCCACGTCAAGATCCGACTTGCCCTCTAGTGAGTCCCGCTTTGCCAGTTAATTCGGTAACATCCGCGCCAGTTCCTACTAAAAAATTAAAGCCTCCAAAGAAAAAATCGAAAACCAAACCCAAAACGATGAAAGTAAAAACAAAAGTTGAAGCCAATACAATGGAAGTAGACGGTGGTGATGAGTAAGTATTACTTTATTTTGTATGGTATTTCTGGAAACTTTTTAACTGTAATAAGGAATTTAAACATGCGCTATCGATTTGTCCTGAAATATGAAATGAACGTTATTGGTTTTTAAATTGTCGCAATACCGGTCAGCGCGCTGTGCCAAAATCTGTAGGATTTATCTAGAAGCAACGAGTTTTTTATTCAAATACGTTTGTACGAGGCATTGTTTTAACTGCCTCCGTGGCCGAACGGTTACCATGCCGGACTGCCACACAGAGGTCCCAGGTTCGATTCCCGGGCCGGGAGAAACGTTTGTATGGCTTACATTTATTTCTCTCGTGAGTTTGGGTGTAATTTGTGGTTGTCTATGTGTGTGTCCATGGCACCCGCGACACAGGGTTTCCCTAGTGCGGGGCTATGTGGAGTGTGCGCGTTATTTATTTATTGTTACCTTCAAGCCTGGTGACTTTTCTCTATTTGAGATAAGCTGGCATTTGTAAGGTGATTTGATAGTTACATCAGGGTTTCCCGTTTTCCATTTTTCGTACAGCCCTCATGCGAGTGAAACCTAGGTTTCAAGGTTTTAATTTTAATGTTATTTTGTTAACGTAGTTATGAATCCTTTTTTCATATCCCTAAAGTCATAATCGCTGTATTTAATCTCGCGTTTTCAGTTTGTTAAAAATATTTGCCATAAAATTGCATGTACTTAGGTGTACACTCATAACTATGATTTTAATTAGCGAATTGCATGTAGTTAAAGAGACGTCGGCGGGCAAATGCTTCCCGCCTTTCGTGTAAGGAGCACTGCGAGATAGTTTGGCGTTTTATATTTCGATGCCTCACACGTAATTGTTGTAAGTAAAAATACCAGTTTTTGCTTTTACCCATTGACCTACCTTTTACCTTAAATATATCATTTTTTATGTATATTATACATTCCATGATTGAAAGTAAACGTAACACTTAGTGATTTCTATACTTTTAAATATAGAACATTATAATACTCATAAAAAATACAATATTGACTTAAAAGTAATCAAAAACAACAACTTACGTGTGAGGTACCCATCGACTTATTGTACCGAAATTCTCACTTCAACATAGAGTTGCAAGATAATGGTATAAAAATCGGTAATACGTATCTTCGAATTGTATTACATGTGTGTGATTTTAAGGGCGAAAGGCTTTTGTCGGTGTGTATTGTATAACTGTGATTTTCTTGTCGTATAATTTTATGGATGAAACTTTCAGTAACGCGGTGTGTCAGTCCTTTTGTATAATTCCATTCATTACCGTGTTATGCTGACCAACGCGTCTCACCAATAAAAATATTAAAAGACAGGCTGCTGTTTTATACCGGAGACGCAAATTTAAATTTTCTAGTGATCTCAGCAGGTCGCCTTCTCTCGACGCAGTGGACACGTGGACAATGGAAACAGATGCGTTGATGGTAGAAATTGCGAAGTTAGAAAGTAATCCAAAGCACCCAATTACACCCGCAGTACAAGTTCCAGTGCATAAGTTGTTGCGCAAGGATGAACCACAAGAAGTACCTAAAGTACTAAAGGCAAATGTAGCCCCTATTCAGCCAGTTACTGTGTCTATTCCCTCTTCTGATACGGCAAGGAAAAATTTAACAAAAGGTAAGTTTACTTGGTCTATTTTTCGTAACTTTGCGTTTTTCGGGCATAGTATGCCTAATAAGTCGCTATGGCTCTTAATAATTAATATTGTTCACGCTTTGCAGACAAACAGGACCCGTTTTTAACAGCTTTGCACACAACAGATCCGTTCAAATTTGTGCCATCCCGCAAAGGTTGCTTTTTAATATGTATTTTTTCTCTAATACCTATTCATGTTATGGGTCATTTCGTGCTATCAGCGCGAATTACAGTTCTTGCAATTTTTTTTTGTTGTACCTATGTTATTTTTGTTATATTTATGTTTAAATAAAAATATAGTGAGTAGAATCATTACACGTAAATTTCCACTTTGTGCTGCTGGATTTAGAGTTTGGGGTTACATATGGAATGACCCTATATCGGAATTAATGACGCGATCATAATAGCCATTGTCATTTTAAGAAAAGTAAAGTATAGGTGGTGATTGTTTAAGGTAGTATTATAATATAGCATTTAATCTCACTTTTTAGTGTAGACTCATTAATTCGTGCATAAAAAGAGTAGCGTTATAGTATGACAAAGATAATAATGATTAATGAACATTTTCTAAGCGCTCAAAATGTTCCCCTCTATTGGCTCTGAGCGAGTCGCCGTAGAACCTCGCAATGGACTGAAGACGGTTACCATTTTGTAGGTCACTGTGATATTTCTATTATTTTTAAATCATTTGTGATTTCTCACAAGACAAATTGAAAGAACAGATAATGCTGTAATAAATAAGGCCAACGGTAATTGTAATTTGACCGCTGCGTCGTTACTGCTAGGAACCAATACATACAACATTGTAGTTAATAGCGTTATTTTTTTCAGACTCGCCCATGAAAGTACCAGATTCAGTATTGTCTTGTGTTCGACAGTCTTTGTTCCCGCGCGTACCTCCGTACCTTAAGTTTATTGGTCTTGATGATGTCCCAATACTAAAGGTACCCATGCCTATACAGAAACATCTCAAATGGAAGTTGACCACTATCACACCAATTGTTGTTAAAAAAACTTTAGTTAATTCTGGATTTAGGCTGGTCAAGAGCGATTGTGATACTGCGGAATGTCCGCAAGAAGGTACGGTATTTTTTATTTTGAATATGGAACTAATAACTTTAAATCTAAAGTTACTTACGTTCTTTTGCTACGTTAACATAGGTTTTCCTTTTTAAAGTGAACGGCATTCGGCATGAGTACATACCTAAAGTATTTATTTTTAAAACAATTTTAATGTTTAGAAATGAAGTAATTATCTAAGTTAAGTAAGTAGTAAACAAATGAGAGCAATATATTGTAAGCAATGTGGATTATACAACTTCGCGTGTCTCAGGAAGCCTTGCCAGTAATGCTATTAAATAACCCAGCACAATAAGTTGGCAGGTTACTATCTTTCAATAAATAAAACCTCGGTTTTTTGTTCGCATTGCAGAGACTATAGACTGGATTGGTATATGGGGCAAGCACATGAAATCTTTAATGTTTAGAGCGATCAAAGATGGTCAAAAAATGAATCATTTTCCTGGGACATTTCAAATCGGTAGAAAGGATAGATTGTGGCGGAACTTGCAAAAACTAGCGGCTAAACACGGAATGAAGGAATTTGGCATAATGCCTAAAACCTACGTATTGCCGCATGATTTGAAACTGTTGAAGCAAGACTGGGATAAGCATGCGGAAAATAACGAGAAATGGATTATAAAACCAGTAAGTATTTTCCAGATACAGGCTTCAGTTGTTATCCAGAAATATGTTCTCAATTATCGAATGAATGACGACCTTCACTGCGTAAACCTAAAGCAGTTCAGCAGCACTGGGCGCTAAATAAGTAGGTGCCGGGCAACTCACAGTAGTACTATTTTCTAAATAGATTTTGGTCTGTGTAGTGTTCCAGTGTTAATTTCTTACTCTTACTGGTGGTTGTCTGGCAAAGTAGTATTATTTAAAACATGCAACTTTATTCTTGCAGCCGGCGTCTGCTCGAGGCACGGGTATTAAAGTTGTTTCTCGTTGGACACAAATCCCCAAGAAAAGGGCGGTAGTCGTCCAAAGATACGTATCAAAACCGTACCTGATTAACGGCAGCAAGTTTGATTTGCGCCTATATGTGCTGATCACATCTGTGCATCCACTCAGAATCTATTTATATAAGGATGGTCTCGCAAGATTTGCTTCAGGTAATGCAACAAAATACAACGCGTATTTATCTATTGCAAAAAAGGACTATGTAATAAATTGGAATATTACAGTTGATTATATTTTTCTTTTTCAGTGAAATACAATAACGAAATTTCCTCGTTAAATGATAGATATATGCACTTAACTAACTACTCTATCAATCGGTTGTCTAAAAATTACACGCCAAACGAAGACTACTCGGCTTGTGAGGGACACAAATGGTATGCAAACTGGGTCATAATACTAGGTTAATGATGTATTCATTTTTCACCGCTTTACTGACGTTTCTAATTTTAGCGTACCATGCCGGAAAGCACACCTGGTTGTATTGTAATAGTACATTATTGCAGAGGCTGGGAAGCAAGGATTTGCTGGATGGGTTTGAATTACAATTAATACGCGTCAAGCAAACCCCGTTCCCGCCTAGACATGTATAGTGCTTTTCTCAAACAACGTGAGGAAATGATGACGTATAAAAGAAAATGTAAAATAAATATTGAAGTGACATCTTAGGATCTTGCTAAAAGAAAATGTTATCGTTTTTCCAGGCACTTTAATAGTATTCCGCTGAACTTCTGATGATGTGGTAGTGTGTATCCGTTACTGTATTTCCGTTATCGCTCTTCTCACTATAACTAGTTGAAAAATCAAAAAAGAATATCAAAGCACTTTGGTTTATTTTACCGCCTTAGTTTTAAGGTGAGCGGTACAGGTAGGTATTTTTAATTCTTGCAGTTACAAAAATTTGGCAGTATAAGTTTTTGTTTTGCCTCTTTATATAGTACATTATTAATGGATAGATTTAAAAGTTTAGAGCAGCGGACAGGGATATCATCATACTTACTTTGCTGGCCTTGACTGGGAAGAAGTCGCACAGTCCTTAAGTTACAAACTTTCCTTGTTCGTTTTTTGAAAGTATTGCAAACATTTCCGGATATGTTTGAGAAAAGTAATGTTTTTATTCCCTTCATTGTCTGTGCTTATAAATTTCACCAACTCTTGAACGTATTTTTGAGTTAATAGTCAAAAGACCTAGGCGCAGCTACATAGACTATATAAAGGAAAAGGCCGGTGTCGTGTCGTACAAGGAGGTCAATTGGAAGATGCTCCACCGACAAGAGTATACTCTTAAGTTTGATGGTGATATATTTTGCCTCACAGGACTCTGCAAACGCTGTTTCAATATCTGAAGACAGACCGAGGTGTGGACACACGTTCGCTCTGGGAGTCTATGAAGGATCTAGTGATAAAGACCATCATATCTGGGGAGGCCAGTATTAGTTCACTCACAAAGGCGAATGTCACTTCCCGATACAACTGCTACGAGTTGTTCGGTATTGACGTCCTCTTGGATGAAGATTTAAAACCTTGGCTTCTTGAGGTAAATTAACGATAAAAAAATGATTTCCCATGCATTGTTATTTGTATTTTCGATGTTATGCTCCTTAATCAAATTGCTTATGGGAATGTTAATGTCATGTATCAACGTAACCTAATCAATTTTTAACAGGTTAACATATCGCCGAGTCTTCATAGCGCATCGCCTTTGGATATCCATGTGAAAGGTCCGATGGTGACAACAGTGCTCAATATTGCTCAGTTCCAAATACCTACAAAAACCAATCTGGATATGTTGGTCAGGGAGAAACCACACAAACTGGTTTGTTTTTTCATATATTTGGAATATCTATGGCGCAACATGAACAACTTGTAAATGTAAATATGTAATGACTTTACAGAATGGACTACCATACGACTCTCGGCTATACACCATATACTTGTCAAAAGAAGAGCGTGATAAGCACATTATTTACACCAATATGGACGACAGGGATTTGGTAAGATATTTTGTATTATAAACCCCAAGTAGGCTTTAACGATGTTTTACATTATTTATGTATACTTTTTTCTTAAAACAATAAAATAAATATAATAAATGATATAAAATAATTATGAAAATATTCTAGAACTGCTTAATGGTAGTGATGCAACAGACCTGTTTTATATTATACTAAGTGTATTCATGAGTAAATAAATACCAGGAATGATCGCCTATTGAATGGATTTGTCCAAAGACGCACCATATAAACTGGGTTTGAAAACATCACGTGTTACCTATACTTCCAACTTATTAAATACAATTGTATATGTCATTTTCCAGTACCTCCGTGATATTCTGTCGACATTAACACCAGATGATGTCCGTCATCTGATACAAGCTGAAGACGAGTTAACCCAGGCCGGCGACATGGAGCGTGTGTTCCCCACTCATGATACCCATAAATACCTCAATTTCTTGTCTGGACCACGATACTACAACCGACTGTTCGACGCTTGGGAGACACGATATACAGCCAATAGAGAATCCGGTCAGTTTTAAGATTTTGCATTAGTGTTGTTAAATTTTGAGCCTTTTTATTACAATTGGTATGGACGTCATTTGCTTCAACATTTCTGTTTACGTCATTTCCATTTGTAGTAGTTTCGGTCTTAATTTGATTTGACTCGAAAGAGCGTTCATGCAACAGCACACGTCAATGATTTCAAAATTCTGTGTTTTCAGGTATCGATCTTCTCCGCAACCTGTGTGACATCGGATACCACCTGGAAGTGCCTCCGGTCCCTCTTAAGGTAATTGTCACTTCCACTCTAAATGACTTGTACAGGCGGGTCCGACAGTGGCTTCACCTGTTTCTAGCTTTTATCTCGCTCTGTTTCACTATGTTACGGTTTTGGTGACGTATTTATTTATTTGTGCATTTTTATACAGTTGGAATTTTTACAAGGACAACAAAATTTAAAAAATACGTTTTTGTTTTGCTAATAATTAATATTGTTATTGTGTTCATAATCCAAACTGAATTGGACCGGCGTGTCTGAATGACTGACTTTGATATAAGACTGGTGGTCTCGCAGCGAGATCTACAGACCCTCATGTCATTACAAACGTTTTTGTAACAAAGCTAATGAGCATTTCGAAAATGCTATACAGGGTGTCTCACGGCTATGCGACACTGAGGTAAAGTACTTCAAATATTGTAGACAGGCTACTTGGTACTTGGTACAACGGGCTGGTATCCGCAACTCGACGACAAAGCGCCTATTTTGCGTGTGGTGGGTGCAGGGTCCTACTCGTGCCACCCAAGCTCCTCCAGGAATCTCAGCAGCCTCCTTGGTTTGCTGAAGACTTCGGGGAGCGACCTTGGCACTCCAAGGTATTTTGCCCTGTAGTTGGCCACGCCGGAGCACTGAAGTAGGATGTGCGCAGCCGTTTCCTCCCCCTCCATGCACGCTCTGCATAGAGGGCTGTCTGTGATACCTAAATTGAAAAGGTGTTTATTGTATGGACCATGACGTGCGAAGCTCTTGCCTTTTAAGTTTAATTAGTATTTGAGATAGACTGGCGTTGAGCGTTGGGAGTGCTTCCCTCGCCTGTAGACAGGCTATTTTGCTTCAAGGAGACTTTATTTTTAAAATTATTAATACTGCATTCATAGATTTTTAAAAAGTTGCGAGTCTCATCTGGAAATCGAAACGACTAAATGTGAAAAAAAAAAACATAATAGTACAAGTTTTGTTAGTAGTAGTCAGTTCTAAGGATCCATTCCTTATAAGTAACATAGTATTTTAAATTAAAGGAACACCATTTTAGAATCGATGTTCGTACTTCAAGATGGGTATCCGGCTCCGAACAGTTGAAGAACAGCCGAGTCTCTTAATAATGGTTTACAATGCTGGATTGGTATACATGGAACGATTAGGTGGCCGGCGAGAACTTAGGACCTGCCACCATTAATTTTTTTTCCGGTGATACGTGAAAGATTTAATAAACGAGAAATAATTTCACAATGTGGACGAATCACAGAAGGAATTGAGGCGTGTTATTCACTACAATAAGATACGAAAATCTACGAGCAACAAACTTATCATAAGATGGAGAATTTATACTAGGAGATGGATCACATTTTGAACATATTTTCATAAATTCATTGCAACTACCATAAACCTACTTTCATAAATTCATAGCAAATACCATAGGCAGTTTCAAGTTTGTTTCTTTTTTAAATAGAACGTATAATAGAACGGTGTCGCTTGAATTGAAGATACTAGGTTACTTAAAAGGATTATAATCCTTATAATAAATTGACCCTTTCGATGGACATCATTTTGGTTGGATTCCCAGATGAGGTAACATTTTAAAAGCCTTTGAATGCAGTATTGTTCAAGTACTTTTAAATAATAAAATAATGTCTACATGAAACTGAACATACTATCTACAATATTTAAAGTACTTTCCCTTCTTGTACCATAGCCGTGGGCCAGCCTGTATAGTTGTTATTCACTCTTCAAGATACGATAACTTTCTACACTAACATTCATACACCTTGTAAAAATTCTAACAACCCATTTGTGATTGTCATTTACATATGTCTTGGTGAATTGGGCTATTTGTATATTTTATACTTTTATATTTTATTTATGAGTTAAGTATAATTGCGTATTAAGAATTTAACGAACAGGAAACTTAAAGTGTACTGTCACTGCCAATATGATATAAGTTAGGACTTAGTCGGTGTTATGAATTACAGGCCAGGACTGGAGTTAGTGTGGTGAGAGCCTTTTAAAATTAATCTGGCATGTTTTTTTCTATTTCGTCATTCCTATATTTCAATATCATCGATCTCGAGTTAATTCGGTTTCAATGATAAGTCTAAATTGAACGAAGTCATATTATCATGTTACTACTAGTTTTGCGTCAGAATGAAGTTCATAGATACATACATATTTACTCTAATAAATTCGTGCAGTACGTCAGTCCATCACCACATTTGATGTGACAGCTTTTATATGGCATTTATTTTACTCAAGATAGTTCAAGTATCAAATTCGCTCTTTACTTTTTTATAGGCATTGATTATGTAAGGTTTACAGCTACTATTTTGATTATTATTATTTTTATCTATAAGCTCGTTTTGGTTCATAATTTTAAAATGTTCGATTATGGCTGATTATCAGGGCAAAGTGACAAGTGCGCTCAGGCGCGCTTACTTGGGTTGTAAGACCGTCGCTCACAGTAAGTGCGTAGCAAAAGATAACAGGGCACAGATTGCCAAAAAGTGTGATCCCGTCGACAGCCGAGGGGCGCGACGTAGTGCTTGTCTGACTGTATTACGGTTGTTGAAGTTTACCGATGCTATAGACATAAATAGAAATTTCAAATTAGCCACCAGTAACTTGTTTCATAAGCTAGACTGTGTGTGGTGTTTAGTGCTAGTATATTGCTAAGAATTGACACCTATCGTACAATGGTGGTGTAGGATTTACTATTTAGGCCAGGGAAATTGTCTTAATATGTCCTAGTATTATTTGGAATCGCAAACCTTTTTCTTCTTACATGTGTTGAAAAGTTTTGTAAAATCCCCCGATCTACTAGCGAATACCAAATCTTCATGTGTGTGGCACTAGTTTTTTTTTCTATGCATCATATAAGGACAACCGATTGCAGCTGTCTTTTCATAGAAATGAAATACGTAATTACATAATACCTGAATTATAAGCATGGCGAAATGTCTTCAGATAGAGAATAATAAATTCAAAAAGGTAATGTTCTTCACAAACTACTTATAATTGGTGGTTTTGAGAAAATTAAGTAGTATGTAGAGTAACAGTTTTTGCAGAAATGGACGCGTCTTTAGCGCCTTATTTATCAGTTCACGTACAGACTTCGGATTCGGGCAACTTTAATTTTGTACATAATTCTGGAGCAACTTTAATTTTGTGCATAATTCCCTGGCCTAGTTGTAAGTTTTCTGAGTATTATTTTACGCGGGCTGTTAGCAATTTTTTATTAGGATAATTAAGGAAATTGTAAATCGCGTTTTAAATCGCATGGACAAAATGAAGGTGTAGGAATATAGAGTCTGATTGTATTCTCCATAGATTTTAAATGTTAATTAGGAATACCTTTTTTAATTGGGCAATGAAATTACAATTTTTATTGTAACTAGTATTTTTGTATTTATAAATACTTATTAGAGTTTTAGAAAGTTTGTATTAGTGTATTCGAATTTATATAAAGTTTTATATTTATGTACAGTTCCATACGACTTGGTCTACCCAGGTAATTTTTTGATTTAAAAAGTATACAACCTTAATGTTCATAATTAGGCCACGTACTGCTTCGTATATTAATCATAGATAAATCATCGTAGTTTATGTAAATGAATAGTAACTTAATTAGAATAAAAATGGAAATATTTTTAACTGTCGATAAATTGAGACAAATTATTTAATTTTCAGTAGGTAGATTAAATACAGGAATTTGATTAAGTAGTGTGTATAGTATTTGCTGACACAAGGCTAATAATTTATATGTAATAATTTTTGTATTTATTTAATTTTATACACATATTTGATGATATTACCCATGCGAAGTTAAGATTATATTAGTTATATTTATTTTGTATTATCTTATGTTTATAACGCCTGCAGCTACTCACGTTTTTTCTTTTCACTAATCATTCCACTAACTTGTAATTTGCCTATTTCACTTTACATCTTGTGTGTGACACATTAACAAATTATCATGTGTTTGTGCTATGATTGTCTAAAGTTTGTCATATATGTAATTTTATAAGATATGAGCGACGTGTGTTCACGCATGCCTTTGTCACTTATTCATTGCTGCCATTAGGTCATTGCCATGCGCCTTGTGACGGGCGGAGACATAAAGTGCACCTGCTCACGAAATGTGCTGATTTCAATGCTGTTCACTCATATTAATGTTAAATAAATCCATCGGTAGAGGACTTGAATCATAGCTTTACTTGTTTTAATTTTAGTTGGTACCTTAATTATAGTCAATAAAACAGCTTTTCATATTGCGGGAAAATAATTCCGTAGTTTTCAATATTGCGAGACTCAGATTTATTTTGATCTAATTATCTGTTCTGCGTTGTTGTATACTTTGGCTACAGCTACTAAAATAACTTTAAATTAAATATACTTTTATGAGTAACTCTCAGTCAATTTATTTGATGTAAGTCGTGTATCATTAGAAAGCTAAAATATATTTTATTATTCTGAATATTTTCATAGATTTATTTTTAATGTAGTTGTATAATATCATCAGCACAAATTTCGACACAACATGTCGCTTTACAAACACATGTTAACTGTCTCGTAATTTTGAGGTGGTGTATTAAGAAGTGGTCAAGTACTTTTGTGCTACTTATAACTTCTAAGATACGCCTTTGATACAGAGTTTTATCGAAATAAATCTATACTATAAATAAAAAATAAACGCAGTTTTAAAGTATAATAGGGATTCGTAATTGGTAAAAATATTTTGCATGAGGCAGTTGTCCCTGTTTGTAAGGTGATGTTGTTGACGAGTGAGTAACGGTGCCCTTTCCCCTCGCCCTCTTCCTGCTCCCGCCCCCTGATGTTGTAGCGGGCGGCGCCTCAGCTGAGCGCGTTGGATCGTTGCAGAATGATGTGGACGCGCCGTCACCGGTTGCTTCGGAGCGGCCTTCAATTCCTTCCCTCGCATCGGTGGAGCCCACGATCTCCTCGAGCTCCCTTTCCTGCACGGCCCGCGTCTGCGGCGACGTTTTCCCGCAGCCGTCTGTCCCGCCGCCCGTTGAACCGCGTGCATAGCGCTACGCCACAGAGCCTCCGTGCGACCGCCGAGGAGTCTTCAAACAATGTGCACATGGACACTACCATAGAATCTCGAAAGAAGTGCACGACTTCAGCGGACAATACCTGCACGGAGACGCTCATGGATCTGAACAGAAACGTGCAGTGTGCGGAGACGAGCGAAACAGTCGCTCAGAAAGCCAGCTAGAGAAGAATACCAAGAGATGCCAGCGAGGAAATGTTCAAACAATATTGATATTCTTCTCGTGTACGCGATAGTTTTGATAACTTTTAAGAGTTTAATACAAAATGTGCGAAAGAATTGGTGTGCGTAAGTTAAGCATTTCATTATGTAAATTTTTACTCAAATTAATTTTATAAAAAAGGGATACATTATAACGTTACCTAGGTTTAGCTATTACATGTGTAAGAGAGCGTTTAACAATTAAAGTGTACGTAACTTCAACTTTATTGAGATTAGAGGCAAATGTAGTAAATTTGTAGTACACTATCTTACGGTAAAGTTTTTATCAGTGTTAATGTCAAGAATTCAAGAAGTCAAGTTCATTTATGCTTCATATACATTTCAATGGCACTGTCGGACCACTTATTTTCGTACATTGACTGTGACCAAACTGGAAATAGTGTTCCTCATGTACATGTGGTCATTTTCAGGCTCCAGGAAGTTCGCTTTATTTGTTGAACGCTTATCTTGACCAATTCGTGCGAAATATGCAGAGATGCAGAAGTGATTCCATTCCAGATCCCGTTGTTAAAAAGGAACCCAGTGCACGCAAATTATCAAAATTTCTCAACTTTTGCAAGAGGAGCTTATTTTTAAAAATGTTTAGTTAATGTACGTACGTACTGCGTTTAATGCGGAATTGTAACTTACTTTTCTCGAAATCAATTCTTGGTTCAGTCGATGTTACTGATCCAAATACTACATATATAAATAAAATTTAAAAAAATCGAAATTTAAAAGAACTGAACCATTTGGTTTAGATCCATAAATCCTTAAATATACGTAGGATTAATTAAATTTTAGTTTGCATTCTATTATATTTGATTAGGTTCTATTTCAAGTGGAAACAGACTTTAAACGTGCGGATAGTGTGTTTGATTCCTTAATAATGTTTGGGACTTAGGAGCATTTAAAAAAAAAAGAAATATTGAAATCATGTACGTATTTGCAGATGTTACGCTTAACGCTGCTAAGGAAAAAATGTTATAATATTATATACTCCTCTGGGTGTTTCCCGCTCGTCCGGTCGGTAATCTGATCAATCTGTCCAATGGACTATTTATATAGTAACCACACACTGTTAAATCCAATCTATAGACCAATATATTTCCTTTCTCAAAAGACCAGGTAACTACGTTCATTCATGTTGTAATGGTATATATACTTATTGTGTAGTTTTTATGATGTTTTACTTTAACACCTCAACAATTGCTAATTTCCTTTTATACTAGTTTTGTATTAAGGTTTCGGCAATTGTAATAGTTGGCTGGCGAGTTTGTTTAGTTGTAGTACGTAGTGTTCTTTTAGATACATTATTTTACTTTTATATATCGTATAAAATATGTTAGATTTATGTTTTTGAGGATATCCTTTCATGGTACATCTGAATTTTTTGCCTCATTTAATCAGTCAAGAGGTAGAGGTTGACTCATTAAGTATCGAGCTCTCCATTGTCTTTGACTTCGCGTCAATATTTTAATGCTTCACATGCAAATGCGCAACGCATACCCAGCCACCACCCGGAATTGCTTGATGCTTTTTCCTTGGACTCTAGTACATACGTGCTTGATTCTCAAAGCTGGTTTAGCCTTGTCATAACACTAATGACCATTTGCATCCTAGATCACTCTTCCGATGCATATAAGGATCTTCTTCTTCTTAGCGTGTCGACATATAGGGATGAGGAGGCGCGACAGAGCTCGTCTTAAATTTAAACGTTGTAGGTCACAGGAAAACTGGGCTACTTTGAAATGCAATAGAAATCGCTATAAGCAGATGGTGAGAGCTGTAAAAAAACGCTACGTTAAGGTCAACCTTTTGGAGAATTAATTCTTCTCCAGCTGACACTTTGAAATTTTTGACGTCTGTTCGTCTAGGTAGTTCACAGATGAAAGTTATTTCTCATCGATTCAATTTCGACGATGTCAATGGACATTTCTCAGCGAACGCCAGTATGGGCAAGGCTAATGCTCTCAACGATGTTCTTTTCTTGTGCGGCCTACTATTTCAAAGTTTCATCTTTTATTCTGATATCGGAGACCGATATTCCCAAAACGTGTTATTTGCGAATCTCTTCTCCGGAAGTAAGTCTTCATGTCTTGGTGGCGCAGACAGTAAGACTTAGGAACGTTCTCCCACCCCACATTCAAAGAGCACCGAATAAGCTAGACTTCAAGCAATAGTACAAATCCCATGTTGGAATCTTCATCTCCATCTCATTAGTCTGACGTTATATATTTATTAGTGTATTATATTAGATGTTTATTGAATGTTTATATTGATATGTTGTATGTATGTTATTTTTTGCTCTGTGGTTGACTGGCAGAGAATACCTAATGGCATTAAATTATTAAACTGTTTTGTCTGCAATAAATAAGGTCTATATTATCCAATCCGAGCACAAGTTGGAAGCGAATAGCACACGTGTATTTAGATTTTTTTCAGTTAATTAAATTGTGATTGTACACACGCCAGCACATCAAGCTACACATTGACGTATCTTGTTCCGTTGCAATGGAGGCGATTTTGGAATAAAAATGTGTACTCTGATGTGCCGTTGTCCGTACAATGTGAACCAAGAGACAGTATTGTACAATCGAGAAAAATGCTCAATGAAACGATTGATCGGATACAGATCCGACGAAAGGGCATCACCCCTCCATAGCCGTTACATCGTCTATTTTGTAGCCGGTTAACAAAAAAATAGAAAAAACATGAAACATTTATTATAAAAGTGGTAGTTATTGAGGTTGTGTAGATCAATGAATCGTGTCTAAATAATTGTTTACAAATTATCAGTGTTTAATTAAAGGAGTTGATGTTTTAGCGTTCTATTTGATGTATTAAATGTGTTTCAAGTTACATGAGGATATTTATTTATTTGTCTACTGTATGTATTCTTCTCTATTCATGTCACGGAAAGTACCGGTGGCACTTCATGTTATATGCAAGTAAGTTGATAAAATCCTCGGTCCACGTTAGCATTATGCAGATTCTAAACAAATGTTATGGGTAGACTTTAGGTGTTTTGAAACTTCACTGTGTTCATTGTAACCTAGTGCTGCTAGAGTAGATGTTTGTCATTTAAGCTAGTGATGAATCGTGTTCAGCAGTTGTATGAAATTGAATGAAGGGTGATGTATTGTAAATCTTACGAAAATAGGTATATGTATATGTGGATATCATTCCTATTAAGAAAACTGTATTTATCCTTCTTCGAGTTTGAAAACCTTTTCGTTGATAATTGTAAAATTGCTTTTAACGAAACATTGTAATAAGATTAATGAGTGTCAAGTACAAATCAATACAATTTAGTTAAATTTTTATTAAATGAATTCCGCTTTTTACTTTGTGCAATGAATTTTGACTACAACTTTATAATGCACTTTGAATATGTGTTTATTTATTATTATTATTCGTACCTAGGTATGGAAATTTGTTTTTATAATTATTGTTTTGTATGAATGATTATTCCCTGCGGTTTTTTGCTTGCAACCAAAGAAGTGTGACGCAACATTTTACTATTGTCGTTAATTTGTAACTATTCGTATACGCATTTATTCCATAAAATATTTTCCTTCCAATCTTATTTTAATGTACATCTATGGAATGCGTAAATAAAATGTATTTCTGATCTGAGTTTCATTACGAAATTAAAACAGCATGAACATTTGTCAATGTATTTTATTTGTTTTTATACTCCTAGTTATTACAGGTAGACCAAAATAAGTTTGGGAAACATTGTACACTCCCAAGATTGCGTACAAATTGAAGAATTTGATTAAGTTCTACTTATGTAACTGAATTATTATCAAGGAATAAAATTAAATAGTCTATGTTGCGAAGTTAATGTTAACGACGATTATAAGATTGTAGTTTTGATAAATATTTATATAATGCCTACTACTTCACTATTTATGATCCATCACTCTTGATGACTAGAACTATATAAATGTTATTTAAATAAATACTTAATTGTTTATACATATGAATAACTAGGATAAATGGACCATTTTGCTGTGTTCAGATTTAACTCTGAGCTGCTACACAAAGAGGTAAGTAACCCACTCGTTTTATAACGCGTGTGCAACCTTTTTTTCCTGTCTGCAATATAGATTGGTGTAACTTAATTCTTTTCAAGCGAGTTAACGTAGCATACTGCCACCATCAATGACGTAATTAGATCCAGTAATACTTTTCGCACTATCGCTTGCTAAAAATGCGATTAAGGCTGCAATTTCTCCATTTTCCACCGCCTTCTTTAGTGGCATGTTACCCACGACATTCTTTACAAATATTTCCAATTGATCAGCCGACAATCCGATATCTTTCAACAAATTGGAATTTACGAAACCAGGACTTATAGAGTTGACTCTTACGCCGTCTGGCGCTAATTCTAAGGCAACACATTTTGTAAAATGCTCTAATGCAGCCTTGGAAATGTTGTAAGCCAAAGCCATAGTACTCGGTCTACTTCCGGCAATGCATGAAATGTTGATGATGGCACCCTTGGTTTCAATGAGGTGTGGTGTTGCTAGTTTAGTTAGATGATAAACAGATCTCATGTTAGTATTCATAACTTTATCGTAAATCTCCATTTCGGAGTTTTTTATACCTCCCATGCCAATAACACCCGCATTGTTTATCAACACGTCAATCTTACCGAAGTGTTCAACAGCCTCATTGACCACTCTCTCGGCATCCGAGTCTTCTGTGATATCAGCGATTATGGCCAAGGGTGTTAATCCGCTGGATTTTTCACAGTACAAAGAGATTCGTTTTAAATTTTTTTCTTGCCTTCCAACAAGTGCGAGTTTTGCAGTAGTTTTCTTTGATAAATAGATGGCTATCCCAGCTCCAATGCCTGAACTAGCGCCAGTAATAAGGAAAACTTTCTCTTTTAAATCTTCCATGACTTACTGTGACCAAATTTTTATTTGAATAGAAAACAACACTGTATGAGAATGACTTTATTGTACAGCTATGTAATGAGATGACCGAGTCAGTGCGGTACTGCACGACACGTTTGGTTTTCACATCAGTCAAGGGCATTCTTCTAGCAAATGTTGCTGTAATGAATATTAAATTCTACCTACGGATCATCCAAGACCTTAAATTATGATAAAATGATAGTATTTAATTGGTATTATGTGTAGTGAGGTAATATATCTTAAATTAGTTAATTTTATAAATTAGTACCTATAATATTCAGAGCTTGAATAAATTCACGTCTGTATTGAAAACTATCGTCATTAGGCTTATTTTTATAGTGTTTTCGCCGTCTTATTTCAAAATATTTAAGTAGCTAACTGCCACTGAGGCCGAACGGCTACCATGCTGGTCTGCTACGCCGAGGTACCGGGTTTGATTCCCGGGCTGGGAGAAATTTTTGTAAGGCCTACGTATATTTCTCTCGTGAGTTAGGGTGAAATTTGTGGTTGTCTGTGCGTGTCCATGGCACCCGTGCTACAGTTTCCCTAGTACGATGCTATGAGTGTGCATTATTATGTTACTATTAATACATGGGCAACAGATATAATAATAACAATAACGCACACACTCAACATAGCCCCGCACTAGGGAAACCCTGTGCCCTGATATCACATGACACAAAAGTAAAGATATTAGTTCTTCAGGTGCGGTTAAGGTGTATGGCTTATAGGATGAGCTAGGTTGTTTTTTTTTAAACTGGTGTTTGCCCACTCGTTTTGTTACCGTTGCTATAAATACTAGAAGAATTAGTGGCGTCACCGTGATGCTATGAAATAGTAGGGAATTCCTGAACTGGCAACACCGTCTGTGAATGCGCAACGCTATGCGCGGCACGTGATGAAATGATCGCCGTTGGTGACTGGTGACGTAGCTCAATGCTTGGAGGTGGCGGGCGCGGACGCGCGGTGGCCGGGGTCTCTAGTGGCGCTTTATACGTTCGACCACGTTGCTACCACACTTCTTCCTGCAATAAATAAGGCTATTTTCATTCACCGCTGCTCCAAAAACTGAAATCAAAGTTGAAAAATATGAAACAGATTAGATTAACTCATTATGATTGATTAATCATTAATAATTAGACAGTAAATAGACAAGTCTTTTTATTAGTTAGAAGTAAGTTCATAAAGTCATATACGATACTTGGTAGGTACTAAGAAAACACCTAACTGCTAACTATTTTCAGTATAGCTGCTCTAAGGACACAAAGGAATCGAATTTTCACAAAAACAAAACGTTGATGATCAGAAGTTGTTCAAAATATTTGACTAATCTGCGCTTTTGGCACTTAACCTTTCCATTTACGCAGAAAATATATTATATAGGTACTTTTTCTAATTCTGTAAATGTATAGTAAGCTTACCTCCTATGTAATACTACAGGATTGCAAGGAATGTATAAAAATACCGAGTACCTGTAAAACACATTGCAAGAAAAAGACAAGATAAAGCCTGCCGTATCGTATCGATCTCAGATAAATATCTTGCTAAATGCCTTCCTTTCAATCAACTAGATAACACATAAAAAATAGTTAATTAACGACATAAATAAGCTTCATTCAGTCAATATTTACTTTTTATAATTATGAAGTTGACATTTTATTTGATATAGATCGCAATTTTGATAATTATAACGATGGAGTAGGTTTAAAAAAGTAGATAACATACTGCGTAGGTATTATTTTATAAATCATACGTCTCATATTATATTATAATAGGCGCTGGTCTTTTTTTTATAAGACGAAATTACAGACGAACAAGTAGTGTGCCTGATGGTAAGCGACGCTCCGCAGTGCTACCTACTCAGAGATTTAAATCGCAAAGCCCGTCACCCTGAAATATAACTTGACAAGTCCCATGTGCCTGTAATTTCACTAGTACCTTACCATTCGAATCCGGAACGCAGTAATACGAAAATACGTTCTAGCGTGTCAGTAGTTTCGACGAACTCTTTTATAGGGAGCTCTAGTGATACTAAATTTATGAGGGGAGAGTTCTACCACATAGTACTGTCACTTGTCTACAGAGCTTCTTACAGCTTTTAGAAGTTCGGTTTAATATTAACAGATGCCATCTACATTTTCTTGTGTAATTTCACCAACTGTAACCTTACCACGTCTAGACTTAGTTAATATTTATATTATTACTACTTAATTATAATACTTGTGTATAATACAATAGTTATCTACATATAAACTTCACGAAGGTATATCAATTACATGAAAAGTCTACTGAAGTATTGATTTTTTTAAAGTTTTAAGCTATACATATGGACTTATTTACTTATTATGGACTTATTTCGTTAACATAATTACATACTTAATCTATTTATTACATTGGCTAAAAAGTCTATGCGTGCTTTATTTTGATACCAAGTAGTAGAAATACATTTAAAAAATACATACCATTCTTTAATCATTCGTTTATTGACCATGTAGATTTACAATGTTTTGCCATCGTGTGGGTAATTTAGAATTCTCATCATAAAAATACCTATTGTTGGATATTTGCCAGTGGCAAAAACAGCATGTGCTTTTTGGCTAACCCATTTTGTATATACCATATATATGTATTATATCATATTATTGTTTGACATATATTGTTAGTCAACGGAATATCACAACTGCAGAATATCGGCAATCTATCCACATAGAGGGGTTTCGTCGGTATTCCTGTTATTAAAACAAATAACTTCGGTCTACGATTTTCAAATATTCGAAAGTAACTATTCGACTTCGCAGACAAAAAGCGTCAGCTGTTCATTGACTAGTAAAAAAAGCAATGCGAGAGTTTTTAATAAGATTTAATATTAAACACATGGAAGAAGAGATTTGTAGGTACCTATTCATTAGAGCAGTGGTCGGCAAATCGCGGCGAACTGCATGCGGCTCTTTGGCCTCTTGGGTGTGGCTCTCCTACAAAATATCAATACCAATGAAGTACCTATACAAGACAAGTGTCGATGGGAGAATTGAAAGTGGTTAACTTCAGCGACCGTACCTCACTTGGACTACGGATGTTTTTGTTAAAAGCCAGCTTAGGAGTATCCTAATTAAGTTCATAACAGTATACCTAACTATATATTTCAAGTTTAAAAAAAGTGGTTTTGAAATGAAATTTCAAACTCTGTAGGTAGGTACTGTTGATATTTGGTCCTCTTCACTAATGAGTTTGCCTACCTGCCTACCACTGCCTTAGAGGATACCCGTGCTGCAGTAGGCCACATGGATTACAGTATACATAGAGGGGTGTTTTCGTGAACCAAAGACAGGTCGTATTAAATCATTGAATATCCATTTCTGGGCCAAGCTATTCGTCTTAGGTTCACATTTACATATAAAACATTCCAATAAATCAATTCGACCGAATGCAATTTGTGAATGGTCCCCATAAATAACTATTTCCCATTTGACACATGGCGACCCTTCGTTTATGCGGGCTATACAGCGGTCTATGTTTTCCCTGTGTTCTTTGATAGATGCGATCCGAATTTGAAAACCGGAAGGGTTTTTCAAGCAGCCCGTTCAAATCAAGTGTGAAATTCAATTGAGCGCCCATAAATATTGTCGGTTTGAGAAATGCTTTTAGTTTCCATTTTAGTTTTATACAACGTGTTGGAGTTTCGGTAACAATTGACGACCTCGGTGGTCTAACGGTTGACATTCTGGGTGTTGGATGCAGCGGTCTTGGGTTCGATTCCCGGTAGGGCCAATTTGGGAATGGACTTTTCTAAATTGTTTCTGGTCTGGGTGTTATGGGAAGTTCCACAGAATTCCGTTGCTTACCAGACCACCGGACTCATAGTACAGGACATTCCCTAGTTTGAGACTAGGCAATTAGTGAGATTATCTGCACAATATGTTCATTAATCGACTTCAAAAAAAGGAGGAGGTCCTCAATTCGATTGTATTTTTTGTTTTTTTGTATGTATGTTACGCGATAAATTTGTGAACCGATTTTAATTTATTTTTTTTTATTCGAAAGAGGGTACCTCAGTAGTGGTCTCATTTAAACTTGAAATAAGTATTCCACTTCTAAGGATGGCAAACTAGGGGATGAATACGGTTTCGCGCACTTTCCGTTAACCGATTGCAATAAAACTTGGCAAATAGATGTAATTCCACAAACTTTTGAGGTCGGCTTTTTTATTGCTCTGTACTCAGTTTATTATATTATTATTATATTTATTGCACGATAAGGTGTCCGAATTTAGTTGCTTTAGGATTCCTTCGATTGGTGTTTCAAAGATCTACAGCCGTAGATTTAGCACGATCGGCCATAGATTCACCAGTGGCGTTTACATAAAAGATTCAGTTTTATGTTTCCGCGCGAGGCATGGTGCAGTTAGAGCGATGTATAGCGAGGCGTTGCTGATGTATCGGGTAATTTGCCGATTGCAGGTAACGTATATTCTGTATATTCTGATTAGGTATATGGGGTCGCGTAGGATAAATAGTTCATTAAATTAGGCATGGTTCCGGTGGGTTAACATAAAACTTGAACATAAAAAAAAGTTACTTGCATCTGGGTATTAGAGATCATAAAGGAACTTTAACATTCTTCAAAAAAATAATAAACTCAAACATAAAAATAACTCGAGTTCTTAGGTTTTCGCGATTGTTACACATAGGAAATGAAACTATTTTTCCGGATTTAAATCGCGTATATTTGTTTTTTCAAATGGCCCCAGCTAGGCCGAAGATTTTCAAACGGTACGTTGATGATACTTTCACAATATTACCTAAAGATAGCATACCTTCTTTCTTGGAACATCTTAATTATTTTAGTGCTAAGATCCAATTTACTATGGAACAAGAGAATTGTGGTACTTTAGCTTTCTTAGATGTTTTAATTAAAAGAAATCCTAATAACACCTTAGGCCATACTCAGGTATCAGGTATCAGGTATCTCAATGGTAATTCCCATCACCATCCTAGCTAGTTAGCTACTGTGGGCAAATCTTTGTTTCAGAGAGCATATGGTGTCTGCGACAATAATCATCTGGCAGGGGAACTTCAGCATATAAAGCAAGTCCTACATGCGAATAAGTTGAAGATTCCACGCCAATGCCGC